GCATTTGCTATTGTAAAAGCAAACAGTCTAATCATTATTTTTAATCCGAACAGACCAGTCCCCAGAGGCAGTCACGAGTATGACGGATGAGCCAGCCATCATTGCATTCAACCATGTCAGAGTGAACAGTTAGGATACCTGTTTCTTTAAAGCGTAACTATGCGCAACTATGACTATTGACCATGTTCCCAACGGGTAGTCTGTAGTATGACCAGTCAGAAATATAAATTGTTGCACAAAGATTTTCGGTATCCACCAGATTTGAAATACCGTCCTTTGTGTAAAAATCGGGTAGTACTAACTAAGTACTAACTACCTTAGAATTGGACGAACTGGACGGTAGGGAAAAAAAAATAAAATTAGAATGTAAAAATTTGACGTTCATAAGCGGTCCTACATGAATAAATGATTTTTGAATTTGAATTTGAATTTGAATTCTTACTAGCAACATAACAAGTATATACATCTCTCATACAGCGCCAATGTGCGAAACCTATACTAAAAGTTGGTGTTACTATAGTTTATGCTATTGAATTTAGTTAATATATACATCTATATCTATACATATAAATAAAATTGGAGTATCTGTTTATAATATTGACATAACAGTTTTACTGCATATGAATATAAATACGATACATACACCAAAATCACATTTTTTACAATTTGCGTCTATCTGTCTGTTTGTTTCGGCTCTCTGAAATGGCTATACGATTTTGACGGCACCTTTTTGGGAGGTAGCTGATGTAATGAGTAACTTAGGCTACTTTTATTTTAGAAAAATAAAGTTAAATTGAATTAGTGCTAATCGGTGGTTTGTATTCACACACTTAAACTTAAATTGTAAGTAAGAATAAATTATTTAAAAGAGCAACACACAAGTTTCTTGCTTGTTCTTGTGATGAGAAAGCTTTCCGAATGAGCGGTAGATTAAAAAAAAAAAAATGTTATGACTATTCAAAAGTGCTTCAATGTAAGTTTATTTGAATAAATGATTTTCTATTCTATTCTATTCTTAAATTTCACGCGGACGAGTTAGTTACTTAGTTTTTGCTACCTTTGTTGGCTTCAACTAAAAAAAAATTTATCGCGGTGCCCCTACTGCCTTGGCGCCTATGTGCCCCACACACTTGTCACACAGGGGCAGTGTGGCCCAGAGTATATGAACAATAAGTATACCTCCCGGAAAGAGGAAGCGCCAACAACAAATGTAGCTCGGGTGCGTGGAAACGGCAAATCTTGTTACCTAAACTCGCCGTCGTAACATTTCAAACAATCTTATTTGCAATTTCTTGTTCCTAAAGGGTCTACAATAACAAGCGATGGAATCTGCACAAATGTTTACGTCATCCCTTCCAATCTCAAACAATCAGGGAGGGTGCGTTTAGGAGCCCGTAGTTTATATAAGAAGCGGTTCCCTGCCATGGTTTGATTGTGTCTATTTTGACAGGTCTCTGAGAACCATTATAAATTGTAGACGATGATGCTGGATGATGCTACAGATATTATGAAAGGAATGCACAGGAATGAGGAGAATGTTTCAAATAGAGTGCTATAAATGCTGATGGTTATGAGAACAAGGCTGAAAAAGAGATGAATGAACTGTTTGAAATACGATATGGGAAGGAAAGTGAATATTGAGATAATAATATATATTATAATATAACAATATCCCTGGACAAATATCTAGTCCCAAGCTAAGTAGAGCTTGTGTTATGGGTACAATTGATATTATACATACATATTGACGACCTCGGTGGTCTAGCGGTCAAGCACACCGCTTTACGTCCGATGGTCGCGGGTACGATTCCTCGCACGGCACAAACATTTGTATTCATGAGTATGATTGTTTATATCGGTCTGGGTGTTTTCTATGTATAATATGTTTGGATTTACAAAAAAAAATCTATGTATATGTATCAGTTATCTAGTACCCATAACACAAGCTCTAGCTAGCTTAACTTGGATCTAGATGGCGCTGTGTAAATATCCTGAGATTATTATTATTATTATTATTATTAACTAAATGAATACTTTAATAATGTAATATATCCGTCATACTTGTGAACGGGTAGTGGATCTAGTCTGTTAGGGTTACGAACGCTGATTAGACTATTTGCTTTTACTATTGTAAAAGAAGGGAGAATAGAGTCACTCTATTCTCCCAAATTTGAATTTAAAAATGAATCTGTATTATTGTAAACATGTACAACATTTATTTGAAAAGCATACGAGAGTTTCTTTTCAGTTCTTCTAACCTCAAATTCATTTCGAAATGACGGTAGATTTGACGTACCATAAGAGTGTTTATTTAATAGACCTACATGAGTAAAGATATATTGTTTTTTTTGTATTGAATTGTAAATACTAAATATACACAAAAAACACCCAAAACAATACAAATAATCATACTAATTACTACATTTGTTTGTGTTGTGCGAGGAATCGAACTTACGACCATCGAAAGTAAATAATGTGTCGACAACAGACTCCAGTTGATTTCGATATTTTTGTCAATTTTGAAGTTCAGCCAAGGTTTGGTTCAATGTAGTATTTTTGTATACAATATTTGAGATTTCTACCTCCCCCTCATCCCCTTATATGTACTTATTCCTAGAGTTGAGACCATTCTCAACTGTATAATTGTATGCAATCATTACATATGTACTTCACTCGTATTCACATGAATGTGGATGGTAATAATAGTAGAGGTAGGCTGCAGAGGAAGGCCAGCGCTTCTAAGAATATCCTTCAATTCTTGTCCCTGACGAGTTTAGGTAGCGAACTCTGAAAAAGGAGCACAATGGATCTATGTAGGTCGCACTGCTACATGGTGATACAGGTGATACAGTCTGAGTCTGACTGACCTGACAATAAACAGCAGCACCACCGCCAAATCGGCAGTAAAGTACTGGCCCTGGAATGGTCAACTATTTGTTGCCATGTAGCGTAAATTATGGATTACTTATTTATGACCTAATATAGAACGACTAGTTAAACAGCAGCACCATTTTTGACACCAAACCGGCAGTAACGTTGCAAATGTATTATTCATACTTCCCTTACGAGTACGCCACATAAAGAAGAATGCTAATACAAAATGTACCTAATGTTGGTGGTACATATCGACGTAATTTAGCGGTCTGGAATGGTCACACCGCTTTACGTCCGATGGTCGCGGGTTCGATTATTCATTTTATGACCTAATATAAACATTTGTATTCATGAGTATGATTGTTTGTATCGGTCTGGCAGTGTTTTCTATATATAATATGTATGTATACACGAAAAAAAATCTATGTATTTGTATCGGTTGTCTAATACCAATAACGCAATTTTTAACTTTTCCATGCTTTCTTTGTCTTTGGCGCTGTGTGAATTGTCCATGATTATATATTCTCCACATAAGTAAGAATTCAGAACTGACGGCCTCGGTGGTAGTTTTAGCACATCGCCTTACTTCCGATGGTCGCGGTTTCGATTCCTCTCACGACATAAACATTTGTACTCATGATTATGATTCTTTGTATCGTTTTGGGTGTTTTCTCAAATCAAATAATTTTTTCGCAGAATACACTACTTATAGGCGTATACAATATTAAATATAATGTCCAATGTATTCAGCCTGCATACAGATGTGCGAATTTTTATCTTTATATATAAATGACAGCCTCGGTGGTCTAGTGGTTTAGCACACCGCTTTACTATCCGATGGTCGTGGGTTCGATTCCTCGCACAGTACAAACATTTGTATTCATGAGTATGATTGTTTGTATCGGTCTGGGTGTTTTCTATGTATAATATGTATTTATTTACAAAAATAAAAAAAAATGTATCTATGTATTTATATCAGGTGACTAGTACCCATAACACAAGCACTGCTTAGCTTGGGACTAGATGGCGCTGTGTCAATTGTCCTGAGATATTATTATATATAAAATTCTCGTGTCACAGTTTTCGTTCCCATACTCCTCCGAAACGGCTTGACCGATTCTCATGAAATTTTGTGAGCGTATTGAGTAATTCTGAGAATCGGCCAACATCTATTTTTCATTACCCTAAATGTTAGGGGTAGTCCACCCCTAAATTTTTTTTTTATTTTAAGGCAAAACAACGTTTGCCGTGACAGCTAGTATATTAATATATTTATGTCATTCTCATTAGTCAATAATTTAATTTAATTTAATTATTGAGGTTCTATGTGTGCCTTTATGAAAACAAATTATCTATGTATTTGTATGAGGTAGCGTGAAAAACTAGTACATAAATAAGATATTTATTAATATTTATTCCCACTTAAGGTTATTAAACTATGGTAATAATTACAAGGGAATAGATTACGAGCAGTTATTATGTAGGTGTCTTGTTCCTGCTTCAATTATTATATACGTCTATTCATATATAGGCAGATGCTTCAGATATTTCAATTCCGTGTTTAGCATATCAGCTTTCAAATCTGGGATGAATTATATTTATACCAACATAAACTCAATCCTGCCTTTAGGGAATAGATTTAGTTGTAGAGCAAAACGGATGTTTGCATGTAATTAGTTTTATTCATTACAGCTCTTATGTCTAACCTACTTTAAATAATATTAATCTCAGGACAACTCACACAGCGCCATCTAGACCCATGTTAAGCTAGCTAAAGCTTGTGTTATGGATAGAATAGAATAGAATAGAAAATCATTTATTCAAATAAACTTACATTGAAACACTTTTGAATAGTCATCACATTTTTTTTTAATCTACCACTCATTCGGAAAGCTGTCATAAGTAACAATAAAATTATTTAAAAGAGCAACACGCAAGTTTCTTGCTCGTTCTTCTTGTGATGAGACAGCTTTCCGAATTAGCGGTAGATTAAAAAAAATGTGGTGACTATTCAAAAGTGCTTCAAAGTAAGTTTATTTGAATAAATGACTTTCTATTCTATTCTATTCTATATATATATAGTACCAAAAAAAAAACGAAAATTTAATATTACTTTTTGTTTGCAGGTGGTAAACAGCGGTGGTACTGCTATGATCAACTGTACATGGGGTGGCTGGCCGGCCCCACGGCTGGAGTGGCTCCACAATGGAGTCCCATTAGGAGCAGGGGTGGCTGGAGGCAGGGTCCATATACAGAGTAATGGGGAACAACTCATCATCACGGCCGTCCATCGAGCTGATAAAGGAGTGTATCAGTGCATGGCGAGGAATGAGCGGGATTCCGCGCAGGCCAGCGCAGAATTGAGGCTTGGAGGTAATTTTTTTTATTATACATTTTTTTTTATTTGTTAGATAGTTGGACAATATTGCGACGTATTACTTTTTCTGATAATTGTAATGATAAAAAATGTAGTAATGATCTCTAACATAAAAAATTGGAAACATTGGTCAAATATACATTGCTTTATAGGGAAAATAATAAATCATATTTTTTTTTTAATTAAATATAAAAGAACATGATGGAAGATCGCGGAAAGTGGCAAGAGCTCCACCGACAAGAGCGTAGCTCTTAAATTATGTATGAATGAATAATTGATAAAAGAACAATCTTCCTAGTATATAAAATTATGAGTAATCATAAAAATAAATCATAATCAACAGACACGGCGCCAGAGCTACAGTATACGTTCATCGAGCAAGTCCTGAGACCTGGACAGGTGGTGACTCTCAAGTGCTCCGCAGTCGGTTCACCGCCGCCACACTTCACCTGGATGCTGGATGGACAGCCCCTCAACACCATAGCCATGGGACCTAGGTATTATTGATGATCCAGAACATTAATAATAATATAAGACGTTATAGCAGTTTAATATTATATTTGACGACCTCGGTGGTCTAGCGGTCTAGCACACCGCTTTACGACCGATGGTAGCGGGTTCGATTCCTCGCATGGCACAAACATTTGTATTCATGAGTATGATCGTTTGTATCGGTCTGGGTGTTTTTCTATGTATAATGTGTATGTATTTACGAAAGAAAATATATATATAGCTTAACTTGGGTCTAGATGGCGCTGTGTGAATTGTCTTAAAAGAAAAAAAATATATACCGATTTACTTCCTATCACAGATAACATAATATTACATACTTCCCGTCGCAGGTTCGATTCCTCGCACGCTGCAAATATTTCTATTCATAGAATAGAATAGAAAATAATTTCTTCAAATAAACTCTGTTTTTAAGCACTTTTGAATAGTAATAGTTATCATTCCTTTAATCTACCGCTCATTCGGAACGCTGTCTCATCTCAAGAAAAACGAGCAAGAAACTAACGTGTTGCTCTTTTAAATAATCATTGTAACTTTACATTTCCAATTCGAAACGTACGAAAATATGTAAGTAATTGTATCAGTTGTCTAGTAACCATAATACAGACTGTGCTTAGCTTGGGACTAGATGGCACTGTATAATTTGTTCAAGGTATTATTATTATGAGTTTTTTTCTGCGTATGATAATGGAATGATGCATCCGCCTGCGCTAACGGTTTACGCTGGCGGGGCACCAGTGGAGGGTGATAAGATGAACATGAGGTCAGGTCAGTTAGCCCATCGTTACCAATTCACTAGGAATTTCTCACAATGAAGGAACTTTCCAGAAGGAACCGCGTGAAGGTCGACCTAACATGGTACATCGCTAGCAATGGGGATTACCAGTTCCCATTATTAACAACCCATTCTTATTATTATTATTATTATTAATTAACTAAATACGGAATAAGCATATTTATTTAACTTTAATTTTGAAAAGATAAAACTGTCGGAAGGCATGTATTTATTTATAACAAATCTCTAAAGAGAAGATTCTAAAAATGTTAAACATTATTAATTAAATGCGAGAAACTTTTTACGCTTTTTTTTACGTCATTTGTATGGACACTTCTGTGCCTCTGTTTCTCTTAATTATATATCTAAGTGGCTTGCTTTGTAAGTGTGAAAATGTCAGATTGTTGCTAGCTAGACCTCCACGCGGTTTCCACTGGAAACCATCATGAAAAATTTTTGGTGATATCGTCGGTTAAATAGAAAAATGGCACTATTGAAGATATACATTTTTTACAAGACAAACATTTCAAGTTTTTTTAATGTTATGTAAATTATTTTTTTCTTTTAAATATTTACCAAAAATTTACACAGAAGTATTATATATTAAACGCCGTCTTAATCATTATTTAGGTAATGATTAAGACGGCGTGGTTAATTTAATCTAAATATATATAACTCAAAGGTGACTAACATAGTGATTTATCTATACATAGCCCAAACCACTGGACGGGTCAGGCTGAAATTTGGCATCCAGGTAGATGTTATGACGTAGGCATCCGCTAAGAAAGGATTTTGATTAATTCTACCCCCAAGGAGATAAAATAGGGGATGAAATTTTGTATGGAACTTTGTCAATTTTAAACCGATCGGGCTAAAACTTTGCATGCATAAACCTGCTATGACGTAGGCATCCCCTAAGAAAGGAAACAAAAGTAAAGCCGCAAAAACTATACATAATTAATAATAATACTTCTTAACGCGAGCGAAGCCGCAGCCAAAGGCTAGTTGACTTATATAAAAGAAGGCAATTCTAGCTTCTAATTTTGAAAAATGACATTTTTCTATTTAATCGACGAATTTGTCACGATGGGCTAACTTGACCTCATATTCATCTTATCATTCTCCACCGGTTCCCCGCCAGCGTATACCGTTAGCGTAGGCGGGTGCACCATTCCATTATCATCTATTAAAGAAATGCTATCTCTAATGTCTGCAGATTTAGTGTCGAACAATTCGCGACCAAGGCAAACGACGTGGTCAGTTACTTGAACATCTCAGCGGTGACGTCAGATGACGGTGGACTGTACACTTGCAGAGCGGCAAACTCGCTTGGTGAAGTGGCGCACACGTCCAGGCTCAATATTTATGGTAAAATATTTGATGATGATTTGCTGAACTAGTAAATATATATAGGCCAACAACGTACTTACAATTCCCTTAGTGTTGCGGGTGCTCATGGGCGGTGGGACAAACGAGCATGCGGATCACCACTTACCAGCAGGTGAGCCGCATGCTCGTTTGTCCCTTGTGTTATAAAAAAAATACCTGAATGTAATGGAAGATGAAATGCCACTGCATATTCTATGTGGTTGTAACCTACTCATGCATAAACGGAAGTACACTGTTCTATCTTTAGGAGATAAAAACCATCACCATCATTGCGACGATCGGTCCTGCGGTAATTTCTTCTCTTTTATACCTTATTTTTATGGGCCTCAAGCTTCTCAGAGATTCAAATATTTCAGGGACCTCTAATTGTATTATAAACACCCATTGATAATATAGTTTTCTCAAATTGAAAGATTTTTTGTAATCGGTCAATTTTTAAGTTTGTCCGTCACTAGCTACTCGCCCCGACATCACACGGGTGTACATGTATTATGTATATAAACCTTCCTCTAGAATCACTCTATCTATTAAAAGAAACCGCTTCAAAATCCGTTGCGTAGTTTTAAAGATTTAAGCGCACAGACAGACAGACAGCGACGGCGACTTTATTGTATACTATGTAATGATGACCATAAAAATGAAATGTGACCTCATCATCGTATTTTTGTTTACTAATGTATGTATATATTACAGGTCCACCTTATGTAAGGTCACTAGCGCCGATCAGAGCTGTCGCTGGTCGGGAACTGATGCTGTACTGCCCATACTCTGGCTACCCTATCAGGTGAGAAGTCAATGCAATATATTTCAGCTGAAAATTGCCGTTTAGCCAATTGCATGCTGCTGAGCTTCTGACCTTATTGTATTGCTGTAGTTCGCACACAATAACACAAATTAGTTAATCGTTTTAATTTTTGAGTTTACTTTTAGGTTATCTAAATTAAATTAAATTAAAAAACCTTTTATTCTATTATTTACAATTTTACAATACATTTATTAATATCCCTAGCCAATAGTCGCCTCTAAATCATAGAGCCCTAAACCCCTCCACACGTCCCTCTCCCGCGCCTTGCTCATCCAGTCTGCTTCAATTTCCTGTATAAAGAAGAATATGACAATGGCATATAATATAATACACTAGCTACTCGCCCCTGCTTCGCCTGAGTGTATGTATTATATATATATATATATATATAAACTTTCCTCTAGAATCACTCTATCTGTTAAAAAATCCGCTTCAAAATCTGTTGCGTAGTTTTAAAGATTTAAACATACATAGAGACGGACAGACAGCGACAACGACTTTGTTTTATACTATGTAATGATTTATTGTTAAATATTTAAATTTATATTACCTACGTGTCGGCAGAATATAGATTTAAAAAAGTGGCAACTCATTTAAACCTATATTCAACAAAATAAAAACTCTTTTAATGATTGAGATTACCCGAATCTAAAATTTCTTAAACAAAATTATCATACAAGCATTTAAACTCAGGATATTTTAGTATTTATCTACCTATGAAAATAAATTCATTTTTATTATTTCTTAATGATTTCCTTCACATCTTTTCTTAACCTCACCGTGCACTGTAGTTATTCTTTGATGAGTATGTTAGAATGACAGGCAGTAAACTTAGCTTTTTTATTAAATTAATTAACATTATTCGGGTATTTTTTTTTATTTGGAAATGAATCCATTAGAGGTAGTATGAAAGTGGCGCCGGTGTCAGAGAGGTTGAAGAGTAATCGTCTATCATGGTATGGACATGTAATGCGTAGGAACGAGGATAATATTTTAAGAAAGGTGTTACATATGAATGTGGATGGTTATAAGGGCAGAGGAAGGCCGAAAAAGAGATGGATGGACTGTGTGAAAGATGATATGGTAAGAAAGGGAGTAAATAACGCGATGACTGCGAACATGGATGAATGGAAGCGAAAAACATATTACGCCGACCACAAATAAATGGGATAAGGAAGAAGCAGACGATGATTTTTTTTTATTTGGCAGTTCTGTGAAGTGGCACAGAGATGGCCAACCTGTTGAATGGGACAGCAGTGTAGATGGCGCACTAAGGGTAGCCAGGGTGGAGCCGTCTCATGCCGGTACCTACACCTGCTTGGTGATGGGCGCCCACGGGGAGACAGCCAGGAGGGAGCTACAGCTGGTTGTTAGCAGTAAGTTTTTTATACTACGATTTTAGCAAAGTAGCATACTATAGTATAGATAGATAGATGAGTTCTTTATTCAACAATTACAAACACATAGCATACATGAGATACATTTTATAAATAGAAATAAAGTTTACAAATTAAATAATACAGAAATATATTTTTTTATAAAAACTTCATGCACAAATACAAAACAAAATAAAGGTGCATATGGCGGACTTAACATCATAAGGCATTTTCTCCCAGTCGACCATAGGGCAAACAGAGATTAGTGGGCGGTGCATTTAAGTAAATAATAACATGAAATAAATAATAAAAGGAGAAAGGTACACTTTCACAGTAGGGTTTCACAGTAGGTTTAACACAGTAGGTTTCCAGTTCTAATTTATTTCAATTCACAACAAATGCGCGCGCGCGTCAAGACCGCTGTACGGTCCGTTTGTTACTAGGTAAGGGAGGGGAGGCAAAGGCTCGGGAACAGAAAACTAACGGACTCTAATATAATAATATCTGTGCTTACGATGATACAGGGTAGATTTTGAACACATAGAAAACACCCAGACTGATACAAACGTTCATACTCATGAACACAATTTATGGTACCGTACGAGGAATCGAAACCGCGACCTTCGGAGGTTAGGCGTAGTGCTAAACCGCTAGACCACCGAGATGTAATACATTTATTTTTTACTCTACAGATCCTCCTGAAATAGAGCCGTTTTCCTTCTCTGCAAACCTGCAAGAAGGCAAGCGTGCTCAGGTCAGCTGCAGCGTGACGTCGGGAGACATGCCAGTACACTTCACTTGGTTAAAGGATAACGCCCCTATACCCACCAGTTTACAGGTTTGTTAAGAACTATTTAATTATATATATCTTGGTATAAAAAACTGCTAGGTCATTGAACTTATTTAAAAATCCGGGACTGGGTTCCCACCAATGCTGCCCACCTTCATGAAGGAGGACTACTGGCTGAAGGGGATGGTGTATCGGCGCTACCGTGGCGTCAGTGCCGTGACCATAGAGACTATTTGAATCCATATCTATATATGTTAGTCTATAAGGTACTTATAATATGGTCCATATAGCCTCAATTAAATAGAAAAAAAATTACTTAGGTGGAAGAACGGGCCGCTGACTTTTTCAGCAATCTCGTATTCAAAGAGGTGTCAGCCCGCCACAGCGGACTGTACACGTGCGTGGCATCCAATTCCGCGGCCAAAGTTAACTATACGGCCGAGCTGGTGGTGAAAGGTAACGTCGAGGAGTAGATCCATCCAGCACCTGAGCACTGAAGCACCAGCACACGATCACAGCACCAAGCCACGCTTGTATTGAGCACATTGTAATTATTTTTCAGTAATTCCTTTGCCAATCCTGATCCTTTAGAATGGCCATTTGTCAGAAACGTTGGGTCAGAAAAATTCTGAATACTCCATATATATTTTATCGAATTAGGTGTTATTTTGTCCATTTCATTACTTCATGGATTTGTATTATTTTCTTTAATTCCGTTTAATTTACATTCGGTCAGGAAACCTGACCACCGCTACAGCGTTACGACCTTCCCTATTAGCACATATAAGATATGCTCTAGTAATCAAATTCCGACCATCATTGGATCAGCCATATACGGCTCTAAACGAGGCATCATCAGGCAATGAATAAAATAAACCAGTATCATATCTTAGACAACTTTTTTTTCTTACATATTATTATTTTATATTTGTTTAATATCTGTTTTATATATTTTTTTTAATTGTAAACTTTGGCCTGAAGTGAAAATCAGTGCTGGAAATTATGTCTCCAGCATTATTCTTAGATTTGGTCCATATTGCCTCTTTTTTGTATTATGTGTAAATTGTTGTTTTTTTTTATTTTATTATTGTTGTGTCAAGACGAATCAATATTCTATACTAAATATTATAAATAGTATGTGGGTCAGAATTTTTCTGACCATAAAGCCTCTGACATTATTCGGCCAGGTTTATAATGTTTATTAAAAGTGCCTACAGGAATTCTTCAGTTCTAAACTTTGAATGCATTCAAGTTTCACGAATGCACATTCATTCATCCTTGCGAGTTGGGGCACGGTCAAAATCTATAATCATAATTACGATTGTTCTGTTATCTATAAATTTTGATCATGCCTTAATACCCCTACACTTTGACACTAAATTGCACTATTTGTGTATTATTTTAATAAAATTTAACTCATTAATGTATTATTGGTAAGGCTTATTTTTATCAAATATGGTCAAAACTAATATGACAACACTGAAATGTTTCGTAATCGAACTTGTTTCAGCCCATGTTTATATCATTCATCCATTTATGTTCTACATAAAGAAAAAGTTACTTTCATATATAAAGTAATGTAAATAATTCATTACATTTACTTTAATTTATAACGTCTTAGATACGAAATTTTCTTTCTTACAATTACACGAAATACCAACTATAATAATAAAAAAATATCATAGTATATAGCAAATATATCTGAGACTATCTATAATATACATAAAGGTAAAAGTAAAAGAATAACTGAATTTATTTTTTTAAATTTAAGTGGTCATTTGTTTTATTAGTGTAGAGTTACCAACCGTCCTGTTTTCCCAGGACATGTCCTAGTTTTAGAAGTGTCCTGGGAAGCCATGAATAGTTATTTAACAGCTGGGTTTTTAAAATCTGCGCGCCTCTTAATTACTGATTTTCAACAGTATAATTTTATCAAATACTTTTTATTAAAAACCTGATTATATTAATTACTTGAATGTTACTACATATTAATGTAACTATTGCAACACTATTACTGCGTTCTGTTTTTAAACTGGATAGTCCTGGTTTTCTTTAACTTTCAATCATGGTTTTTTTATATTTAGGCTTGGCAATCCTATATTAGTGGCCAGTATTATCGTACGCCCTTTACTCTACTAAGCAAGTTGGTAATATAAATTACTTGTAATAAGGTGTTCGGAACAAAACCTAATTGCATATTAACTAATTTAAACTATACAAAAACTAATAGTTATTATATATTTATGTATATATGTATATGTTGTTTTATTATGTTTAAGTAAATAGACATAGTAGGTATAAGAAAATATATTAAATATTCTTATGAAAGTATTAATGTCATATTAGTTTTGTGTTATTAGAGTATAAGCTGGCTACGTATGCCTAAAAATTTTATCATTTTTGTTCTGCCCAGCGTTGGATTACAGCTGGCTAGTGGAAAGGGTAATATTTTAAAATTATTAAACATATAAATTTATAAATTATAGCTATGAAACGAAACGAAAAACTCTTTATTGATTCTCTAACAAAAAAAGCAATTACATAAACAAGTATGTTTTACTTAATAAAAAAAAGTACATTGTAGAGGTATCAATGGGCGGCCTTATCGCTAAATAGGGATCTTTCAGACAACCATTGAGGTGATATACTACGAGTTCACGTCTGTCTGTAGTTACTATTAGACATAACTTTAGCTAGCCTTCCACAATGTTTTATAGATCCCACAATATAATAATAGAGAATATAATAAAAAATTGACGAGTCCATCAAAAACAACTTACGTTTACCATCTACGAACCGACACTTGTTAGCTAAGTTCCTTGTCAAATCTTTGTTTAAAATTTGAACGTATTTGCATATACATAAAGTTACATTTGCGATAGCTTTATCCAGAGAACTAGTTAATATTGACTGATTTTGTGATAGATTTAATTTATTTATTTATCATATTTTCGCACACAAAAATGTATACATACTTAATGCATATTTTGTACCAGTCAAATACAATACCGAAATAATGCTTTTAGATATATTGATATATATACGATTATATAAAAATGATAGATACCAATAATATATAAGTAATTATGTCCCGCTACAAATAAACGATTGGTAGTATTAACAAACAAAATGTGTAATAGCTTTCATAATACCAATAAGAATGTGGTAAACAAATATGGGTAGTCCATAATGCTCAAAGTGGGATGCAGGGTGCTGTATTTCGCAAAATTGCAATGAAGTTCTGCAGCGAGGAACAACCATCCCAGCATAAATAAAATATCTCCTTTGGAAAGTATACACTATTCTGAGGAGATAAAAACCAAGCTCCTAAGAATATCCTTCAATTCTTGTCCCTGACGGGTCTAGGCAGCGTACTCTAAAAAAGGGTGAGTACTATATCCTTCAATTCTTGTCCCTGACGGATCTAAGCAGCGTACTCTAAAATAGGGTGAGCACTATATCCTTCAATTCGTGTCCCTGACGGGTCTAGGCAGCGTACTCTAAAATAGGGTGAGCACTATATCCTTCAATTCGTGTCCCTGACGGGTCTAGGCAGCGTACTCTAAAAAAGGGTGAGTACTATATCCTTCAATTCTTGTCCCTGACGGATCTAAGCAGCGTACTCTAAAATAGGGTGAGCACTATATCCTTCAATTCGTGTCCCTGACGGGTCTAGGCAGCGTACTCTAAAAAAGGGTGAGCACTATATCCTTCAATTCCTGTCATTAACCAGCCTAGACAGCGAACTCAAAAAATAAAAAAGGCGAGCAGAATAGGTCACAGTCAGGTCACCTAGGTCGCAGTGCTACTAATCTAAGCCGGTGCTTAGACAGTAATAGCCCAAAACCCTTAATAAAAAATACGGTCCTTTTACGTCTATAAAATTTAGAAATAATTTACCTAATGGTGATGAGTTAAGGGTAGTTTTGTTAAGTAATTAATTTAAATGCAGCCAGGAAAGGTAAAGTAATAATTATATTAAATATCTATAAGTATTTAATTTATAATATTAATTAATGATAATTGTAAAATGTATTTATTCCATTTATGTATTATCTAATGTGTAAATCAACCATGTACTATGTTAAACGGTAAGTATAATTTACTGTGGATTGTCTCTACTTTATAATTAAAGTATCGGTTTGCATTTAGGAAATTTGGTTTTTTAAAACCAATTTTTTAATTCAACTTCCATTTATTTGTATGTAATACTGACTGATAACTACTTAACTTATTCAACTTATTTTATTATTATTGTCTCGGCCGATTGGCTTTGCGGCGAGATATTGCATCTCTGTGCATTTTCTACCGCATATATCACGGGGAGTGTTCTGAGGAATTGTTCGGATTAATACCAGCTGCTGAGTTTCACCACCGTACAACTCGCCAGAAACTAAAATACCATCCTGATCATCTGGATGAATGGCCGTCCTCCGCAGTGCGGTTTTAATACACATGCATAAAAGTATTTAGCAATTCACACAAAGCCTAAATCTAGTAGCTAGTCCCAAGCTAAGCAGAGCTTGGGACTGGTAAAAGGCACCTGAAATTAATATATAGATATTTTTTTAGAAATACATACATAATATACGTAGAAAATATCCAGACTGATACAAACGATCATACCCATGAATATTTGTGCCTTGCGATAAATTGAACCAGCGACTATCAGGCAGTGTGCTAAATCGCTAGATCACCGACACTGTCTATTCGTCTAGGTCTAATAAAATCTATACATATAAATAAAATTGAAGTGTCTGTTTGTAATATTCAAATAACCGTTTTTTACTACATGCCTATGAATATAAATACAGTTTTTTCATTTCATACGTAATTTAAGAGCTACGCTAAATACTTTCGCGATATCATGCTCTTTAATTCTTGATAATAATAATAAAAAATAAATACGGTACATACGCCAAAATAACATTTCTTACTATTTTTGGCTGTCTATCTTTTGGTTCCGGCTAATCTCCGAAATGGCTGGACAGATTTTGACGGGACTTTTTTTTTGACAGGTAGCTGATGCAATAAGGAGTAACTTAGACTACTTTTATTTCAGAAAAAAGAAAGTTAAATTCCACACGGACGAAGTCGCGTGTACAGCTAGTTTTAAATATAACACTCTCATAGCACTAATTATTTGCTAACAAAATCGTGAGGCGGGCCTGTCAAGTGTAAAACGAGTAATTCGTGTGGCTCGAATTCACATTATTTGGGTCAGAGGTTACTCTAAATAATTATCATTAATTATATTTATTTTGACTTATTATACGACCTTACCAGTACGAAGTCTTGATTAATTAAAGATTTGAAGTAGATAAAATGAGCCGTAAAGTTATGAAATTGATTTCAGTATAAGATAATACAGTAGAAACAGTACTCGATGTAAAACGGATCTATATACCGAACTGGACGGTAGGGAAAATAAATTATAATGTAAAAACTTGACCTACTACGAAATGTCTTACATGAATAAATAATTTTTGAATTTTGAAAAAAATAATACAAACACTTACTTGGTAACTTGAGAGTAGCAATTTGTAGAGAGAGAGTAGAATTTGAGAGAGAGAGAGAGAGAGAAACATTATTTAAGGTATGTGGTGTTGGAGAAGGATGAAAAGAATTAGCTGAGAAGATAAATTAGGAATGAGGAAGTGCTTGAAAGGATTAAAGATAAGAAACAGATCATAGATATTATTGAGAATAGGCGGGGAAAATGTTGGGGCACTTGATACGACACGACGAACTAATTAATGACATTATTGAAGGAAAATAGATGGAAAGAGAGGAAGTGGAAGACCGAGACACAGCTATATCAAGCAAGTTAAAGAAATAGTTTGAGTCGTGTCGTATCAATAGTTAAAATGATTGATGGAAGATCGCCGAAGGTGGTGAAAGCTTCATCGATAAGAGCACGGCTCTTAAATTGTTTGAATTAAAACATTATTTATTTAGTTATTTAAACTTTAATGCAGAAATACAATATCTAAATGTACATATGGCGAACTTAACACCTAAGGGCGTCCTCTACCAGTCAACCATAAGACAAACTGAGAAGTTAGTAAGCAACGCATTATAGTACAAACACTTACGTGGTAACTTTACAATAATATATGTTATTAGACATATATACATACTTTACTGTACGGAAAGATAAATTGATAAAATAGAAGAACATATAATTGGTTTATAAACACATATCACATAAAGCGATCATTTCTCAATATGTTTCGTTAAACGACAAATATACAGATAACATACGAGCATTCTAGTGGAATTTCTAAATTCTTTTAATAAATCCATCATTGTGATTATATATGTTAGGGTTCACATCAATATTGTAGAAAAATCTTAGTCTTAGTTGGGCCTGGGGGGAAGCTACAAGTAGTGAAGGTGAGTGTTAATGCATTCTAAAAGGGCCTTTTAAACCTACACCCGTGTCACAAGTCACGGGCGCTACTTGGGTTTCCTCTTCCTTACAGCCGGCTTCAAAGTCTAAGTCGTCATTATAATTAGTGGTTCTTACATATATAGTAACCTGTACCTATAGGTTACTATATATGTAAGAACCACTTAGATTTAGATTATATCTTCATATGACATGATACAATTTTTATGATATAAATTGTATTTTCTTTCTCTCTTCTTCTGCCTGGCCTTGGTCCCATTTATTTGGGGTCGGCCCGTCTGGTCAGTCTTCGCCAGGACGTTCTGTCCTGGGTCAACTGGGATGATTTTGGCGCTTTTTATATCCCTCTCAATAACGGACATCCAAGTGAGACGGGGTCTGCCGCGTCTTCTAGGCTAGGTACTTATGTCACGCACTGTTCTTGTCATGTGGTCTGATGGTCGCCGCACGACATGACCATACCACCTTAAGCGGCTCTCTAAAATCTCCTGTATGGGGAGTCACCTTAAAACTACCTCGAACATGGATGTTTTTGATGTGGTCCAGCATTGTTACGCCAGCAGCTCATCTTAGCATTTCTGCGACATTGAGTATGATCATCATTGCCATCATTGCCTTGCCTTTATCCCATTATTTGGGGTCGGCGCAGTATGTCATTCTACTATTCCACTGCTCTATCAGTCGTCATATCTAAACATACTCTTCTTTTATTCATATCATCTTTCACACAATCCATCCATCTTTTCTTAGGGCGTCCCCTCCCTTTACATCCATCCACATTCATATTATACACTTTCCATAAGACATGGTCCTCATTCCTCCGCCATAACATGCCCATACCAGCTCAATCTGTTACCTCGCTACTTTTCTATAACCGGCGCAACTTTCAAACTTCCTCGTATATACTCATTCCTTATTCTGTCATTCCTGGTAACCCCACACATCCATCTTAACATTGAGTATGATATAAATTGTATAAATTTAATATTATAGTATCGTTTAACACACACACACATACATAGATGTCTTTACACGACACGTTCTTTCACGCGCAATCAGAAACGCGAAATCTAACGCGCGCATTCGTGAGTGATTGCATTTAGCTATTCTTTATGTTCTCTCTTCTATTCTTTGTGTTCACTCTTTCTCTCGTTTATTGTCTCATCTTTCAATGTATCCCATATTGTCTTTATTGTATTTTACAGGTATAATCATTATATAATGTAATTACGCATATTGTTTTATTTATATAACAATATAATAATAATATATTATTATTATTATTATTATTATTATTATATTTACAACACAAAATATTAATTTCTGTCTTCCCCTCGCACGCTGCAGTCTCACCAAAATGGGTGGTGGAACCAAAAGATGAAGCTGTGCTGGCCGGGGAGGCTCTGGCACTGCATTGCCAGACTACGGGCTCACCATCACCGCAAGTCACGTGGTTGAAACAGAGAGGTCAGTAGATGCCATGTATATGTATATTACGATGTAATATCTCATGACAATTCACACATAGCGCCATCTAGTCCCATACCAAGCACAGCTTGTGTTATGATTGCCCACTGGTACAAATACTAAGACATATATTCTTTTATATATAAATACATAATATACATAGAACACATCCAGACCGATACCAACAATCATACTCGGGAATAGAAAATGTTTCTACTGCGAAGAAACGAACCCAACAATCGGAAGTAAGGCATTGAGCTAAACCACTACACCACCGAATCGAATATATTTTCTAGTGTGAGCCACGTGAAACATTGGGTTCACTACCCGACATCGACACCAACAGTTCAAAAACGGCCGATATAATAAAAAAAATATATTGTCAATTTATATTTCTGCCTAAATTTCAGGTGATATAAATTCCTATAACAGATCAAATAAATCAGGAAGACGCTGATAGTGTTATATACAAAACGAAATGTAAACATGGTAAATTTTGCGATCACCATAACGCCAGCAGATGACAATAAAAAATCTAAATATCTGGTGCATTATCCTTCCATTTCCTTCTTAGTCGAGCGCAGTGATGCCTGGCTCATCCGTCATACTCGTGAACGGGTGCTGCTTGTAGAGACTGGTCTGCTCTAATCACTATGACTGATTTCCTCTAATTAATTGTTTAACCAGTTGGTTATATATTCAATATTTTTTCTATTTGAGTATTTAATTGAATTACTGCTAATTGATGGTTTGTATTCACACACTTAAACTTAAATATGTACAATAAGAATAAAATTATTTAAAAGAACAACACGCCAGTTTCTTGCTCGTTCTTCTTGTGATGAGACAGCTTTCGAATGAGCGGTAGATTAAAAAAAATGTGATGACTATTCAAAAGTGCTTCAATGTAAGTTTGTTTGAATAAATGATTTTCTATTCTATTCTATTCTTACCTTAACTTGGAAATAATAAGAATGAATTTACTCTTACATCACAATAATGAACAGTTTCGTTCTATTTTTTTTTCAGGTTCGTCATCTACAGACTTCGTCCCTCTGGTGAACCTCGGCGGCCGCTTCCAACTTTTGACCAACGGAACACTCTGGATCGAGTCTGCGCTACCGTATGACGAAGGCCACTATATCTGCAAGTCTGAGAATGGAGTTGCTCCCTCCCTGAGCAAGAGTATTGCCGTGGCTGTTAATGGTAAAACTACCGTTGCAAACTTATTTGTGTAGTCGAAAGTGAAAGGACAGATATTCAGCATTATAGTCGTTATAGTATCTTCTAGTTGGGCCATTTGTCTATTTATAATTTATATTACAGGACTAGCTTTTACCCGCGATTTTGTCCGTGTGGTATTTGTTAATAACATATACCACGCGGACTCTATTTTTGGCGGTATTTTTTCTATGTACAGACATTCGGCCTCTACAGTTTCATTATATGTATAGATAAAAATAAATAAAATTGCTATAATAAAAGTAGCCTAAGTTACTTTAGCTATTTGCGAGTGAAAGTCACGTTAAAATCGACCTACAGTTTCAAGGATTAGCAAAACTACTACACTGATTTTCATGAAATTTTACAGTAATATAGCTTATATACATCAGAATGACACATATGCTATAAAATTCATGCGAGTGAAACCGTATGTATAGCTAGTACTACACAATTTACATTGATATACTTCTATATACTTTTGTACAAAGAAACTCTACTTACTAATGCATAGTTGCAATAACGTTGTCCTGATAGTCAGATCACTTCCTTAAACAACTGACTGACATTGAATAACCAACCGTTACTGTATGTTTATAAATATAATTTTCCATTGATGATAGCCAGATCATTTCCTTAAACAACTGAATGACATTGCATAACCAACCGTTATAGCATGTTCATAAGTATCATTTTCCATTAATGTACCAATTTATGTGTACCAGAGCCGGCGCGGTTCGAGCTGACGTCGCATAACATGACGGCGCGGCGCGGCGCGGCGGCCACGCTGGCGTGCGACGTGCGCGGCGACGGGCCCATACGGGTCACGTGGGCACACAACACCAACCACCTAGATCTTAATACCTATAGGTAAATCTCATACCACTGTATACCTTTTTTAATGGATGATAATGGAATATACGTTTTTTTTATATCTCTAAACATTGTTATGTCAAACGCCCATGTCGTACCTGCTCTCGTAAAAATCGGAGATTCTACAGTCGAAATTGTCGATCACTACGTATACTTAGGGCAAACTATCCAGCTAGGTGGGTCCAATTTCGAGAAAGAGGTCAATCGTCGAATACAACTCGGATGGGCAGCGTTCGGGAAGCTCCGATATATCTTTTCGTCCAAATTTCCGCCTCAAGACGAAGGTTTACGACCAATGTGTGTTTGCCAGGGATGACTTACGGCACAGATACGTGGTCACTAACTATGGGCCCCATGAACAAGCTCAGAGTCACTCAGGGGGCAATGGAGAGGGCTATTGCTCGGAGTTACTTCTACGAGATGGAATTAGAAATGAGGAGATCCGCAGAAGAACCAGAGTGACCGACATAGCCTGAAGAATTGCGACTCTGAAGTGGCAATGGCAGGACACGTAGCTCGTAGGACAGATGGCCATTGGGGCAGTAAAATCCTCGAGTGGCGACCACAGACCGTAAGACGCAGCGTGGGAAGGCCTCCAGCAAGGTGGACCGACGATCTGGTCAAGATCGCTGGAAGGCATTGGATGTGAGCAGCGCAGGAGCGATCGTCGTGGAGTTCTTTGGGGAGGCCTATGTCCAGCAGTGGACGTCTTCCGGGCTGCGATGATGACGAAACATTGTATAATTATAGTTTATTTAGTGTAGTATAAGCATCATAATTTGTTTATCTTATATCACAATTCGGTTGGGGATTTTTTTTTAATAGATAGAGTGATTCAAGAGGAAAGTTTATATGTGTAATACATATATACACCCGGGCGAAGCCGGGGCGAGTAGGTAGTTATTTATGATATGAGTATGATAGGTACAACATTTGAGTGTATACTGCTTGGTTTATTATTATAATCAATGCTTATATACTACTTACTACATACATACTACGTAAAGGCAACTAATCACATACTGAAGCTGCTTTGTTCATAGCCTATATATAACAAAATGTAAAAAAAACTTTTAATCGTGTTTCAGGTTAAGTATATCCGAAGCAAAGACTGATAGTGGTTTAAGGTCCCAATTATATATAAGCAGAGCAGACAGAGAAGACTCGGGCGTGTACAAGTGCCAAGCAGTTAACGCCTATGGTCACAGTGATCATTATATTTATCTTTCCGTCCAAGGTAAGATCTTTTTTAGATAAAATATGAAGAATATTTTAGTGAATCGTAGCCTAGTGGTTTACTACCAAGACTTATGGACTCCAAAAAGAAATTGTGAGTTCAAATAATAATAATATTAGGACAATTGACACAGCGCCATCTAGTGTCAAGTTAAGCAGAGCTTGTGTTATGGGTACTAGGTAACTAAATGAAGATAATATTGATATTTGAAGATTTCTCAAATATTTCAAAAGTATATTTAGGTTTCTTAAGGCAAGCGACGCGCATATGATACCTCTTGAGTTTTAGACGTCCATAAGCGGTCTGGTCCATACGTTCTCTGATTTAGAGTTGTGCTAGATTGTTGCAGAGGTGCAAATATAAATATGATGTACGTTTAAGTTTTGTTCCAATTATTCATAAATTAACTAACTACTTGTAAGAACATGTCAATCACGCGAACAACGCAGGAAGGCAATAGATTGCGGAACCACAGAGTAGAATAGACTTTTGAGTTTGTAACATATTTAGAAAAAAATTGTTTTCACGTATAATTAGTAAAAATCACGGGATCTTACCATTTTTTATTCCCCAGTTCCCGATATTTCAGCAGTGTTTCAACCGCCATGATCACGGGTAAACTGAAGAGCTGTAGACGGTAAATAAAATATTTTATGGGCATACATATGCGTCTACCTTCACACGTCTTCGTTTGTTGCTCTTATTGGTACTCGCTCGATATTTCATCTCGGCAAACTATACTTACAGTATCTTCACGTACATTTAATACACCAATTATACTCTAATATAATATAAATAATGAAAACAGAATATTGTTTTCAATTCCAGAAAAGCCCGATACGCCCCACTCGTTATCTGTCACTGAGATTTTAAGTCGAGCAGTGCGGTTATCCTGGAGTCAAGGATTCGATGGCAACTCCCCGCTGGTCGGGTACACGCTGCAGTACTGCGTGCTGAGCGCGCAGGGCTCCATCAGAGTCAACCAATGGGACACTGCCACCAGCCTCAACGTCTCCGTCCATGGCACTCCACACACCACTGTCATGTAAGCAATAAGATAGATAGATAGAATATGCTTATATATGATAGAATAAGTCCTTCCGAGTGTTTGAAAAAAAAACATTATCTTCGACTTCTTAGATATATAATACTTTTTTTTTAAATAAACATAATTTCTAATATAATAATAAAATAATGTATTTCAATAAATATGCTTAAGAGGTTCATTACAGTCTTGTATTATATCTACATAAACAGCGTTTACCACAGTTAGCAATAAAAAATCAATAAATTATAATTTATATCATTGTGTTATTATGAAATTTCAGTCTTACAAAAAAGGGTGACATTCACTACGAGGCGCTCCTGAATACTCTAAAACCTCACACGGCGTATATGATTCGTATCGCAGCTATCAACCAGATAGACAGAAGCGCCTTCACGGAGCCTGTGGTGGTCAAAACACAAGAAGAAGGTAAGGAAGGAAGAAAGGAATAGTTATTTTCATTTGACTATTTTAGTATTGTTGGTGTACAATTTCGACTTGAAAAACCTGCTAGTAGAGAACTCTGGTCTAACTTTTCTTAATGAACAATCTCCCACTATTATAATACTAGTCTAATCAGTACATATTAGCTTTACATGACATTCTTTCACGCGTTCCTAATCATACTCATTAAAACAAATGTTTGTACCGTACGAGAAATAGAAACACGGCTAACGAAAGTAAGGCATTCTAGAAATCTTCATTACAATTTAATATTGAAAGAGATTTCTGTTTCCGTTGCAGCACCATCGGAAGCACCCACAAATGTGCAAGTGACTGCAGGCGGAGCGGGAGAGCTGCATGTGTCGTGGCGGCCGCCGCCAAGAGACGCGTGGCACGGGGAGCTGCTCGGGTACTCTGTCACCTGCACCGAGCTAACTACACCTGGCGCGAGTCACAGAAATATTACGAGGTAATATAATCACCCAACATCAAATCAACATCACACACATTTTTCTTTATCAGTTTAGCCTGGACATCGTCTTCAGAGACGTCGTTATGACGCTCATTATGTCTTTAGCAATTACGTCCTTCCATCCCAGTCTTCTGCTTCTATTTCTATGACCGGAGAAGGAAATCAAATCATCCACCAACATTAATATTTTCCCTTATTTTTTAATATCGATTGCTTAATCCCCTGTTAATCCCCTTAATTTTATTATCGGAAATTGCTAACAATCTTATATACATTTCTTATAGACATCATTATAAAAACAATAATTGCTAAATAGTAGGTATATTGGTAGCTCACAGAATTCAAACCGAGATGGATTTACTGTCACATATACAGTAACATTGGAACAATAATATAGAAGCACAGAAAAAATAGGATGAGCGAATTGCCATTAATACCCCTGGAAGGTACACAACGCTGCTGTTTTAAGCCAATGTGTAAGAGTGATATCGGTAATGAGTCATAATTCAAAATTTACCATCAAATGAATTATACTTTTCTGTCACAGGACTTTAACAGTAAACGGGTGGTCTGCAACAGAACTCAACTTATCCGCTCTAAGGAAGTTTACACGATACGAGGTGCGTGTGAGAGCATTCAACGGAGTTGCAGCTGGACCGGCTTCTGCACCTGTCTCTGCTACTACTTTAGAAGGAGGTAAGAATGTAAGAGTAGTAGCAAGTCCAATACCTCATGCAGATAAAATTTATAAAATAGATTTGTAGAATATCATCTATGTACGATGATTAGATAAAAATGTAATAAATTATCGTATGCTACTAGACTAATAAAGCTACATAAAGGCTACGTACTCCAAAGTAAGACTTTCATGGCTTATAGCATACCAAAAATAAATCTTAATACCGTAATATTGGTAAGCTAATATCCTTTTCACACTTGGTAGCAACATTACCCTATATCAATGATACATTCTTTTAACTTAATATCTGATGCTTTATTATTAATTTTAGTTCCTGAGTCACATCCAATAACAGTATCCTGTTTCCCTCTATCATCTTCGAGTATGAAAGTAACATGGAACCCGCCTCCAATTGGACAACACGGTGGTCTTATACAAGGATACAAAGTCGTTTACTCGCCTTTTACTTCAGACGAAGGTAAGTAACAGTGATCTCTCCGCTTAATGTTGAAGATACTGAATTGCCAGTTGGATCATCCTTATACCGCCTGTATAAACGGTGGCTTATTTTTCTTGTTAAATAGTGAATTTAATAGTAGTACAATATTGTTTGCATTTAACACCAATAAAGGGCGTTGTGCCAAAATTACATCGCGCTGTAGCTTTGTTTACAGAAGTATCATATATATAGATTTATCATATTAATAAGTATTTTTGATAATGATTGAATTAAATCTGATTAATGATCACTTGTTACAAATACAGTTTTTTAGTTTAGGACCTTGTAGTTTTAACACTTTTTCTCGTTTAGACCACGGTGATACTCATCATATCACGACTAATCGAAAAAAAGTATTGTGGTGCCAGTTGTACCAAGTTTATCGCGACAACGATAGTAAATGATAAAGGCTTCTAATTTCTCAATACTTCGTAATTAATTAATTTTCGAAAAGCATATACATTGATTTTCATTATATTACAGCGGATATAGGGGAAATTAAGCGAGTAACAACAACTGATACTTACCTACATACGCTCAGGAAATACACCAATTATTCCATTCAAGTACTGGCGTTCACCAATGCAGGAGACGGCAAGAGAAGTCCTCCAGTTTATTGCATGACAGAAGAAGATGGTAAGTTCTGAAGTTATATAATTTATTTTAAAAATGTATTCTAAGACAGGCATGCGCAGGTTACATATGAATGTGGATGGTTATAAGAGGCCGAAAAAGAGATGGATGGACTGACTAAAGGATAATATGTATGATAAAAAAGAGAGTAAACAACGAGATAACTGCGAACAGGGATGAATGGAAGAGAAAAACATATTATGACGACCCCAAATAAATGGAATAAGGAGGAAGCAGATGATGATTCTAAGACAGGCATGGGAATTTTAGAGTCAAAATAATTGTTTTTAAGAAATTTGAATGTCAAACAAACTGGCCTGACCAGAACGTGGTGACTTCCATCTACATGTACATGAGCATCACCACGTTCATCACAAAATACATTTGCCCTTCCTAAACACCAAGTCATTGTGTGTAATTTAATGACGACTCTGAAATGGTGAACTCATTGAGGTATGCAAACTATTTTAGTAAAATCAACTTAAAATCACAGTAGATTAATGAACTATTCTACCTTGCAGTACCATCAGCGCCTGAGAAGATTAAAGCATTGGCATATTCCAGTGATACGGTACTAGTTAGCTGGCTACCACCAATACACCCTAATGGGATCATTTCTCATTACACTGTATACTACAGAGAAGCGGGCAGGTTAGAATGGAGTTCATCTAATGTTTTAAAACTCATATTGCAAAACAAGGAGAATATCATTCATTTCGACTTTTCAAAGCGCCCAATACTCAACCTACTCTTTCTTTCTCTTTCTCTCTCTCTTAATCTCCATGTAGACGAAGTTGCTCTAGTCATAAATAAAAATAATTTTTACCCTATCTACTATCAGAAAATTATGATATTCGAAGTTCAATAACTATTATTGAACTATATTATATTCTAGACGCTTAACGTTTAATGTTCATTGTTTAGACTGGCATAGCCTACTTCAGTAGTAAATTAGAATTTTGAGTATTCTTGAGTCATATAATCGTTTGTACAGTAATGGTAATTATTTTAGGTTAGGTAAACACTCGAGTTTTACAGTCACAGCAGATAAAAATGCAGACGTGGACCTCATGTTTCAAGTGCGAAATCTTATGGAAACACAACTTTACGAATTCTGGGTATCGGCTACGACGGGCTCCGGAGAAGGCGAGTCCACGCTTGTAGTGGGACAAGGACCTGCATCGAGGGGTAAGTACATTTATGGAAAGCAAGAACATTTAAATATCATTACAAAATGTTTTAAAAAACTATTGTATTAATTTTTTTTTAATCCATACCTAAATACCCTTTTTTGAAGAGAAACAGAACATAAGACATGTGCACTGGTGTCAGTGTGGAATCTAAGAGTACGTATACATTGTACGCAGTTCCGGCACGCATCGCATCGTTCGGGCGTGAGGTGCGCGTGGCTCGAGGTCGCGGTGCCGTGCTGCGGTGCTCGTGCGTGGGCGCGCCGCCGCCGCGCTCCCGCTGGGCGCACGCACGCCGCCCCGTCACGCACCACGCGCACTACCAGGTCACGCACGCCGGCCACCTGCGGCTGCGGGGTCAGTACTCACGCTCACTACCGCCCACTACGCGCCTCGCGCCGCCCCGTCACGCACCACGCGCACTACCAGGTCACGCACGCCGGCCACCTGCGGCTGCGGGGTCAGTACTCACGCTCACTACCGCCCACTACGCGCCTCGCGCCGCCCCGTCACGCACCACGCGCACTACCAGGTCACGCACGCCGGCCACCTGCGGCTGCGGGGTCAGTACTCACGCTCACTACCGCCCACTACGCGCCTCGCGCCGCCCCGTCACGCACCACGCGCACTACCAGGTCACGCACGCCGGCCACCTGCGGCTGCGGGGTCAGTACTCACGCTCACTACCGCCCACTACGCGCCTCGCGCCGCCCCGTCACGCACCACGCGCACTACCAGGTCACGCACGCCGGCCACCTGCGGCTGCGGGGTCAGTACTCACGCTCACTACCGCCCACTACGCGCCTCGCGCCGCCCCGTCACGCACCACGCGCACTACCAGGTCACGCACGCCGGCCACCTGCGGCTGCGGGGTCAGTACTCACGCTCACTACCGCCCACTACGCGCCTCGCGCCGCCCCGTCACGCACCACGCGCACTACCAGGTCACGCACGCCGGCCACCTGCGGCTGCGGGGTCAGTACTCACGCTCACTACCGCCCACTTCGCGCCTCGCGCCGCCCGTGCTGCGGTGTGGGTGCATGGGCGCACCGTCGCTGCAGAACTCATCTCTTAATAATCAGAAAAGGAAAATAATCACAATGATGATAACGCAATATTGTATTGAAAAGAATATGTGAAAATACCAAGACTGTAATTTACTAGTTTCTCTAGTTATTTATCTTCTGCATACTATACGCTAATTCAGGAAATTTAAATTATAGAAGTGAACGAGCAGTCATCGGGCAACTTCTCATGTACGGCCAGTAACACCATCGGCGAAGACACAATAGTATACGTGGTGTCAGCGGTGCTGCCTCCAGCCGCGCCCGCTCTCTCGCTGCAATACACCACTTCTTCCAGTATCAAGCTACATTGGCAAATCCCTGGAGAAACTACTGATCCCATATTGGGTAAGATTATAAATTTGTTATTATAGTGATTTGACACACTCCTTAAATACTCGCCAAAATAGAATATAATAAAAGTTGGAATATAGGATATGATCATTTAGACTGGGAGAACAACGTAGGAACTAATTCCGAAACTTCAGACCAACTAAGGAAAGACACATTTGGAGTTAATCTTGCAAGGCTTTGTTGCAGTTAATGAAATAAAGAAAAGACATATAGTAAACTCGTATATCCCCTTTGCTATAAAAGAAATCTTAGTATTTTTCAGCTAAAGCGATGCCTGTTACTAATCATAACGATATTTTTACCATGCTTGTCAGAAATTTTGGACCTACTATAAATAACAAATGAAAATATAATTAAAATATTTTTATTGTTCTTCGTAAAAATCATATTTATTACATTCTCTTATAACGATTCTCTTTCAGGCTACATCCTACATCATAAGCAAAATACTGATACCGACTGGAACACGGTAGAGCTGACTCCGGAAGTCACCTCGTACACCATGGATATGCTCAAATGCGGCACTACATACAACGCAAAGATCCAGGCCAGAAACAAAATCTCTATAGGTCCTCCTTCTGAGGTACTGAGTGCAACCACTAGAGGAGGAAGTGAGTATATTAAAATTAACATTTTTATTACAATTGTAGTAAAGCATTGAGATCTATTACAGACTCTTTTAATTATGTCAAATCTACCGTTAGTTCGGAGTATTTTCGAGCTAAGAAGAACTGATACGAAAGTCAGCTATTATTGTATTTAAATGAGCTTGTACGTGATTACAAAAATACAGATTCATTTTTAAATTCAATTAGGCAGAATAAAGTGACTACCAGCAAATGCTATTGCATAATGTCTAATCAGTGGCTGTAAAACTAACAAACCCGGTCATCAGAAGCAGCAACTCTTTCACGAGTATGACGGATGAGTCATCCATCATTGCACTCAACCATGTTAGAGGGAACACTCGATCCAACACGCCGCCGCCAATTTAAAGTTTAAATATATTCTAAGTTAGAAAGTTATACTGAGTTGCATTTTAGTACAAGAAATTGAAAGCCACAAAATATTTATGGCATTTAGTTAGGAATATACTAATACTGATAAACTATAACTTTAATAAAAAATCTCTGTTCTTCCAGGACCAAAACCGCCCAAGCCAGAAGACCATGTACATATGAACTCAACAGCAATCAAAATCAACTTTTATGCGTGGCGAGACGGTGGCTGTCCTATATTGGGGTTCAGAGTCTCGTATAGAAGAGTAGGGACAGAGCATTGGATCAAGGTTCAAAATATTTTTTTTAATTTACATTATAACTATATAAGTTGATCTTTACTTTAATAGGTAGGTTGAATTGCACTTGATAATTTGTAAAACCATGTTGATTGATTTGATAATTGATTAGAAAATATATTTTTGAAGTCTTTGGAAAAAAAAAATTAAAAAGATGTAAATGCAATCACTCACAATTGCGCGCGTTAGCAGCGCTATATCACGCGAAATCAGGAGGGCGTGAACAAAGAACGTGTAATGGCAAATGTAAAGGCAACTTCATTCTCCTACCTAATTAATTTTTTTATTTAAGTCTTTAAATCGACGTTATAAAATATATAGTCAGTACATTATAATATTTGCATAGGAAGACAAAAGCTTATATGAATTTAATAAATATTATAATTGTAGATAGGAGACGGCCTGAATTCTGCCAGCCACGTGGTAGGAGATCTATCACCGGGCACGTGGTACGAGCTTACCGTAGAGGCGTATAGTGATGCTGGTGTGGAGCGAGTTACATTAAGAGTGGATACACATACGCTGGCTGGAGGTACGAATTCATGGATATTTTAACTTTAAAACTCCTTTAAGTTTAATTGAAAAATGGTATATATCTGTGTTTTAAGCCATTTTCTTTCCTCTAGAAAAGTTTTTGTAATTTGACGTAATTACACACATTAAATTGGCACTTTGAATTTTATACGTACATCCAATGTAGTGAATAAAATATGTATATATATATATATATTTAAAGATTGATTACTATTTGCGTGACGATAATACAATTGTAACATAGATAGTTAACGCAACTGTACAAATCAATAATAGATGAATTAGTCTGCGAACCTGCTGGCTAGTTTCTTATTTTACGATGATGCGACAGTAAATCTGTTACTCTAATGCACAACTTCGAGGGTCACATACGAAGGAAAAGACGTGGATTAAATCCGGTCCCGTCCCGTTGTGGTGAAGCTTCTAGAAAGAACTTGTATTACAGAGAGGACTATGTTGAATGTACTCTTTAGATCATTAGCCCCTACGGTTGATCATTAAAGAAGGTTGATTGGAGTGTGCGTGTGCAGGACGCATCCCGGCTGTGGCGGCGGGCGCGGAGGCGGGCGGGCCGTGGGCGGGCGCGGGCGGCGGCGGGGCGGGCGGGGGCGCGGCGCGCGGCGCCTCGCTGCGCGCCGTGCTGGTGTCGTGCGGCGCCGCCGCCGCGCTCGTGCTGGCCGCGCTCGCTGCGCTGCTCTGCCTGCTGCACGCCAAGCGCAAGTACGTACCCTCCGCTCACAAGGCTCTTTTTTAAAGCAAATCTTGTATATACGCGTGGTGTATTAGGATCACTGTCACGAAAAAGCGTTATCGTCGTGTAGAGGGTCGGTGACGGGAGAGAGAGGACATCGAAGAGTCGAAAGTCCGCTAACGCGTTGTGAAAGAATGAGAATTGTCCATTGGAAGTTTCACTTGTACTATATGTGCCAGGACACATTCCTTTTTTTTTCGGACGAAATTCTAATGCTGTTGACCGCAGCTGGTCTTGTCCACAACTATAAGTGACGAGTGCAGTAGCACTGCTAAGCTGCCAAAGTACTTATGGCGCGGCTGAAGGCCAACTCCTACTTGACAGATACGACTTTAGCCTAAAGGCACGGTTAAGGTTTCGAACCTCGAATCAACCCATCATTTCATTTCAGCAATTTGTTGTAAATTCCAGGTTCTTGTGTGTTTCAAGTGACCACTACATGCGTGACGACAGAAAGCTAAGCGAAAGCAACGAAGCGGAGAGAGAAAAGCTCAGAGAAGGACAAAAGCTGTATTCGTCCTCCTCTATCAATGGGAACGAAAAGTCCAACGATGACTCTTCAGGTAACTAGAACTGTCTTCGTAGATCGTAATGGTATAATTTGTAACAAAGGTAAGACTGTAAGATGTCGCCTGGGTACTTTGGGCTCACCCATTTTAGCCCCCAAGAACCTCGCTTTGTAATCTTTGGTTTGGTGGTGGGGTGCAGATTAGGCAATCTATCTCTTACAGGATAAGAGGCATGACATATTTAGTCCTCCGAAATGGCAAAGCATCAGTGGTATCGCAGGTGTCACATAATAAGGTATTGGTCGTAGTGTTATACATGTCTATAGGCGATGGGTACCGCTTACCATCAGACGCGATGGACCCTCCACCAACCCATGGCTATTCCAACCTCTCGGTTATACTGGCCGAATCTGCGGGGAATGCGGGCTGAAAAGCACGCATTCTCTTGACCTCTACAAATTATTTAGACGCGATGGACCGTCAGATTCTTGGTTATTCCATGGTTTCCTGGCTGGCCACATGGAGTACCTGACACAGTAGATGGGTAGTAGTAATAATTCGTTCCCCAGTCTCTCTGTAGCAGATCGGCTGGGTTTATAATAATGATAGTAATATAATATGTCAGGTCAATTCACACAGCGCCATCTATTCCCAAGCTGAACAGATTTTGTGTTAGTGGCCAGCTGATACATATATAGATACACCATTTTTACAAATACATACATACTAGACATTGAAAACACCCAGATCGTCATACTACAACAATCATACTCATGAATACAAATGTTTGTACCGTGCGAGGAATCGAACCCACGATTGCGAATTAAGGCGGTATCGTCCGAGGCCGTCGGATGGTTGTGATGTTATGACGTTGTGCCACAGCGGAGCTGTACGAGATCAGTCCATACGCGACGTTCGGCGTGTCTGCGGCGCACGCGCTGCAGTTCCGCACGCTGGCGCGCCGCGACGACGACGCCGCGCCGCCGCACCGCCGCCGTCACCGCGCCTGCGACCACTACCGATACGGTGCGTCTCTTTTTTATTCTTTATCTGGCTCCGGAAGGAACGCCTAATCTATTTATTTGTACCGATACTGTATAAGAGTAATTGTTTAAAGCAATTCTTTTGTGAACTCCCGCGGTACAGATTCGCCTACTGCTGGGTTCATGGGATATGTAAATTTAAAACAGAAAGTACTCGTAGCGTCTATCTTTACCTATATGTCTGCGATTATCTCAAAAAATATGGAACGGATTTTTATTTATCTATTTGGTGATTCCTAAAAAGGTTTATATGTAAAATTATACATCCTAAACTATTTTTTTTTACTTAGTTGTTAAGGTAGGGTCACAATGTGAATATTTCTCTTTTACGTTTTTTATAAGTACGTAATAAAGTGAAAAATCTTTTATAAACTCGTTTATTATCCCAATTTTGGATCCTTATTATCACCGTATGAAAAGAACGCATAAGAAATTAACCGTCGTCCTTCATCGTATTTCCCCATCTCGTACAAACTTGTACAAGAATGGAACTGCCTTCGTGTCAAAGACCAATCTCGTACAAGTTCGAGGACACACAACGGTTGGCATCCGTACACCTCACTGTGTGCGATCCGAGTGTATGTTGGCGCAGATGAATCGAGCCTGTCTAAATCCTCGACAGTGGAGGCTCGCCACCGCATGCGAGCGGCGTGCGCGGCGGCGGGGGGCGCGCCCCCGGGGGCGGCGGGCCGGGACGGGGGCTGGCGGGACGCGCACACAGACTCCGACGACGGCAGCGACAGTGCTGCCAATACCACCACCAAGGGTTCGTCATTCATCATTTTCATTAATAGTATAGACGCGAGGTTAAGTGTGGATGTATGGATGGATGTTTGTTTGTTGACTTTCAAGCAAAAACTAATAAATGGATTTTAATTAATGACTTATACATCGGAATATAGCCGTGTATGCCTGTGAGACGTGGACATTGACACAAAAGGAAAGAGACAAACTGGAAGCCTTTGAAATGTGGTGTTGGAGAAGAATGGAAAGAATTAGCTGGAAAGATAAAATAAGGAATGAAGAAGTGCTTGAGAGGATTAAAGAAATGAGACAGATCATAGATATTATTGAGAATAGGCGGGGAAAAATGTTGGGGCACTTGATACGACACGACGAACTAATTAACAACATTATAGAAGGAAAAATAGATGGAAAGAGAGGAAGGGGAAGACCAAGACACAGCTATATCAAGCAAGTTAAAGAAAAAGTTGGAGTCGTGTCGTATCAACAGCTAAAGGGACTGATAGAAGATCGTGGAAGGTGGCGGGAGCTCCACCGACAAGAGCACAGCTCTTAAGTTATGAATGAATGAACATCGGAATAACACCAGCTATAAATTTCACACGGGCGGGTGAAACTGAGGACACAGCTCGTTATTAATAGTTTAAAGTGTACTCACATTCAAGCGGTTACTCGACATGTTGCTCCAATGAGACTCTAGTTACGAAATGTAAATCTCCAAAAAGGGCGGTAAGTAGAATTGAATACAAATAAACTTAATATAAGCACTTTTGAATAGTCATATTTTTTTATTCTATCACTCAGAACGCAGACTCGTCACAAGGTGATGAAAAGAGCACGACGCTCTTTTATGGTGTAACAATCAACATGAAGTCCATTGGGCTAATAGTAACCTAAACGATAATAGATGGGTGACTGACCTGCTATGTATAACTACACTTATAAACCCGGTCATTTCCGCCACACAACTCTTAGCTGGTGTTAATCGACCTACCCGAATGCGACTATTAGCGTACTTGATCGTAACGACACTTACAAAAAGAGCGGAAAATTAAATCGAAATGCTCAGAGTACATTATAGTGTTTTATTAATCTGTTATAGATTAATAAAACAAATCAAACTGCCATAAAACATTGTACTGGTTATGAAATTGCTGTTTATTTTTTTTATATTAGGGCGGGAAAAGATACCGTACAATAAATGTCAATCAACCAACATTACTACTACGAATATTAGTGTTGTGAATGAATTATCTTAAATTTAGTTAATTATAAGCGATCGATTTAATGATCGTTAAATCATAGACAACGAACATAACTGTATGTATGTAGACTTATGTACGTAATTAGGAAATAAAAGCGAAATGAAATTCAAACTTTGTGGAATGTTAAATTTATTTTTTAATACAAACACCAAGATAAACACATATACTGCTTTTCACTACTAATCTTTTAATGTTTGTTTAACTATAATAATATGGTAACAGGTTCAGGTGGGTCTCCGTGTGGCAGCACATACGGTAGCGGGCGGAGAAGCGCGCGCACCACCAGCAGGTAGAACTCAGGTACCTCCCCCGCTCACTCCGCTTCCACGCACTTCCGCGCCACTAGACTAGCTGCTGATTCATGTATTCGACTGAGGACTATATTCTGATATATTCCATTTTTTATGAAATTGGAATGACACAATCTGAAGATCCATTTGTCTATAGACGATGATTATCACTTTCTATAAGTAAACCGTCACATATATACAGAAATGTGAGGCCCTTCGGGATTCACTGAGAGCATTGTGATGCCCGGATATCTCTCATGACAATCTGTAATTTTAATCTCATCCCTATAGTTAAATTATATGCTTATTATATAAACTTTAATATTATTTAATTTTTGGTTATTCTTGACTTAGTGTTTTATTTAAATTAGCCAAAGTAATAATTATGTTATATTTCTTTGTATACTGTTTTTAAAAATAAATATTTAACACTATTACATTATTATATTATATATACAGTAAAAATAGTCCTAACCAATTAGTAAAGCTAAACTAACAAGCTATGTTTAAATTTATATTATTTAATTTTATTTCAAATTATAATGAATTGCATAAAAATTAGTAGTTATTATTAATAACAAAATGGTATGCAAATCAGTACACATGCAAAACCCTTTGATAGTAATGTTATGTGAATTGGTAGGAATCCATAACCGCAAGGCTTATAAACAATCACGCTAGCCAAGCTTCGCCACCTGCTATTTATTATAGTAATCAGTTTAAAATAGAAGTAGTGATGAATAAAATATAACTGTTTATTTACAGTGGTGGCCTGAAAGGGAGTGATGCGCTCTCGACAAACTTTGGGCCCGTTCCAGCGGATATATCTTCTTTAATAGATAAGTAAGTTATTCATTTAACCGAGATTGTATTAGAAATAAAACCGTCCTAGTGTGCACTTATATTTCAGCCTGTTGTTTATATGAAAGGTAATTAATTAATATAGCAATAAATATAAAGTGTATGGATGAGGCCTTACTTTTGACGGCCCCAGCTTTGATTCCCCGTACCATACAAATATTTGTATTCATGATTATGATTGTTTATATGGATGTAATGGAATATTGCCTTTCTAGTCAATAAATAAGTAAATCGGTGTAACAAACACTAAATATAAAACTAATACAAAAATGTAAACAAACTACTGTCTTCAATTAGATTGATAACAAATATTGAGTTATTATAATCATACTAGGATTCTGTACAATTTGTTTAGCTTGATATTAAATATTTATCTTTTCTTTTCAGATATCAACAGCGCAAAGAGCAAGAGAGGCGGGAATGTACTATTCACGTATAACATTCCATAATCCAATGTAACTAAGATTTATTTTAGTCCAAATAAAGCTACTGCATTGCCCAAAGCATGACTACTATTTAACTTTCTAAAAATTCATCCCTCCATTCGTAAATTTCTAATTGAAATAATGCCAGGCCATAATTGCACAGTAAAAGGGCTTAAGATTTTGTGTGATGAAGTCACTAATATATGTGACACCCCAATTATTTAATGTTATAAAGAGTATTGTTATATAAATTATATAATGTGATTTATCTGAATACTGTTAATCTGTGACAGTTTATTGTTTAAAGATATTGAATTTGTAAATATTAATAAAGGATAAGTATTACAATTAAGATACTTTAATTGCTGTAAGATTGTTATTTCTGAGGTATAATTGTTTTACATTTAATTTTAACGGATTATTTATAATTTTAATTTATTAAAAAAAGAGCTAAATTATATGTGTATCTTGTTAGTTTTAGTTTAACTTGTTTTTTTTTAATTAATCAGTAGGTAGAAAACATATGTATATAACAGTTTTAGAGCATACTTACATATGCCTAGATATAATATATACGTTTGTGAGCATAAATTATATTATTCTTTAATATTGTAACATATTTCAGAAAGTAATAATCTTACATCAAAACATTGTATATATTTATATGCATCTGATACCAATAGCAACTGTTTAACTCACCCCAAACAGTGATCAGACGCATATATTTATATTTTATGAAAAATAAATAAATTAAAACATAGTGTTTTAAGTAAGGTCTAAGTAAGATAATGCCTATTCCAAATCGCAAAAGATACATATCATTAAAATAGACTGCCAATATTTAAGCGATTCGTAATTCTTTTTACTGTATTGTTGATTATTATAGTTAATTAGTTAATAATATACACTATTGTATAAAAATCTTTCTATATACATGTTGTGTAATAATAAAATTATTAATAATAGGATGAGGAAAGAAAATAAAGATGTGTGTTGTGGTATGCAGTTTTATTCATATTTAATTCTATATTCTTATAGCTCACAGCCCCAGACCTTAATTTTTTTCCAGGCTAGGTAAATTTTAATAAATACCGCCCCCAACACACCCCGCTCATCCCCACCATTTTTACAACATACAATATGACGAATTAGTATTGCTGTGAATTTATATTGTTTTATGTTAATCAATCATAGTTTGAAATTTTTTCTTGCGTCTCATAGGTCAAGTTCTCAAAGGTTGAATAGGTAATAATGAGTTGGATATTCATCTATCAAGTTCAAATTTACCGCCACCAAAACTCACCGCCCGGGGCATGAGCCCCGTGTTGCTCCCTTCTAGATCCGGGCCTGATAGAACACATACCAATTGTAGACTTTATATGTATGATACGACATTCTTCGTGGTTCTGATTTATTTCAGCCATCAAACTTGCTTTATAATGTGTTTTACTTGGAGGGGAAATTACAATCTATGGAATTTCATAGGGGTACCCAACACGTTCATGATGATGTGCTGTCCGTTGAGCTGTACATTTACCTATATAGACAATTAACATTTACCATCGTGTACCATTAGGTTTTTTTTTATTATATAACACTGATGCCCGGTTGTAATTTCCAGATTTCCTACTTTTTTATTTACACACACATTACATTGCAGGACACATCTAAATTAACAGCAAAACATTTTGCCTTACTCTAGGGACTATATTTACTATTAGGTTGTTTGCTATTCTAATTAAATAAAAAAAATCAATACAGCTCTTGAATAATAAACCGCCGATATCAAAAGCACAAAGAGCAAGAGTCACTGGAATGCACTATTCACGTTTCCACTGCCATAGACGCAAAGCAGTAGGAATGTGGGCGATAACAAAAAGTTGAGTGTATGTTTATTTACATTTTTGATATTCTGCAGTAACATAAATACCGATAGTATATAATAAATATGTAATGATGTCCTGCTAAAAAATATATGATAATTATGATTATGTAATTCTGACTGATTTGGCCACGGCAACTGTCTGCGACTCCGGTTTTGCGGTTGATGTGCTCGCATGTGGCTTATGTAGCCAATTTTGTTTGCAAAAATCCTCGCACATTGCTGGCATGAGAGCACGCACACACAAAATATATAGCCGTGTAGGTAATATCCAAAAAGTTGGAAGGTAGGGTACACCAAACAACAGTGTGTTTATTTATGTTGTTGAGTAACTGTCTAGTAAAGAAATAGCCGATAGTAAATCAAAATTTATCAGAAAGACTACAGTATACTTACTCTACTACAAGCTTTCTACAATAAAACCTCAGATATGACCAAATGATATATGTATATTCGTGTAGGTACTTCGCTTATTGGTACCTATTCCGTACTAAAAAGAGGGCACCGAAAGCTATACCTTTTCATTTATATAGCAAGTGTAAATAATCCAGGACGGTATCGCTTGCGGCTAATTTAGGATACGCAATTAAATATGTACTTGACTCGACAGTTCACGCTGTTGCGTGATTTGTTAAACTTAGATATACGATTTAGGTCAAGCAACCAGCAGTGAAGTGAAGTTATTGATATCATAAAGTATTAAAAACAATGACATACAGTAGGCGATCGTTACTCTTTTAACTACATACATTACTTCCGTTTATAATATTAAAATTTTATACAAAAATTCCGCAGTATCTGCTATAATTAATAAACTAGCAACAATATAATTAAATCTTTAAATTTGTACGTAAAATTAAAGAATTTACCGAATTATGTTGTATTATGGATTAGCAAATGAATTTATTTGGCAGTTTTTATGAAATAATTTAGGATGATTAGATTTTTTTAAGTAGTTGCTCTGTGGTGCTTTCTGTTTTATCTCTGGTTAATTGGTTATGGTGAACATTGATTCAAAATAAAATGATGTCATATAAATGCGAAGATTTATTAATTTTTATTCTATCTTAATAATATCTAAATACAATATCGAAAAGAGATAACCAACTCTCTGGGGACTTGTATCAATACTTTGATAGAGACATATGTATTTTCACGTAGGCATATAAACACAAAACTAAATACATAACACATATTGTACTTATTACAACCAATTCTCAAGAGATTCAATCAATTATGTTCCTTAGACACAATTAATAACGAATCTCGCGAGGCCAAATATGTACATATTTGGCCTCGAGTTCATTAGAATATTTCAAATTATATTTAATACAAATTAAGTATATAATGTTGACGACCTATATGCAAACTTGCCATCATTTACCATCAGATAAGGTAAGACCAAGTGAAATCCCATTATTAATAAAAAAAAACAGTATGACAAACTAGTAAGAAAGCATTTAATTACTAAGAAGTTTTATTTTTTACGATTAAAAAATTATGAGTTCATTATTTGTTATTTAAGCAGTCATTATTACTCCATACTAAAATGAAAATACATGTATACTCTGCATACATATAGGTATGTTATTTTCTAGGCAGGGAAAGTATTAAATTTTTTTAAGGATGATAAAATAGAGCTTCAGTACTATATTAATTACAACGCTAACTGCTAATTGTAACTTGTTAACCACCGGCAACAATACAGCTTAGAACTTAGTACTTATATTATTCTCATTCCATTATTAATAACATCTTATCACATTTCAAAATACGTATGATTATAAATAAACCGTGTTCTAATTGTTTCATAGAAATAGAAGATCTTCGGCCTCAACTGTATAAAAATTTGTGCAATTTAAAAAGTTAAGTGATTTTTTAATTTTTAACAGATTTTTATCTAAATCGATTAAAATTTATCTTGATTATGATAATCTCTTGGACTCACTATTCTAATTAATTCTACGTATTTCCTTTTTTTTCTGACACTGAAATAGCGCCATCTATATATTGTTTCCTAAAACAAAACTAATAAGTAATGGCGGCGGATGCATGACATTAATGTGCATGTGACTAATTGCTATGTTCTTAAAGTAGCATACCTGAAATAAACTATAAGGTATCATTAGGTGAGGTTAATATTAATTCTAATATTAGGTTATTTTTGTAAAATTTTCCAAAATAAACAACAGTATCATATATTAGTTTGGAGGAAAGAAATTACAGATGTCGCTATGAAACATAGTTGAGTTTCTTAGTTATAAGTATCGATATAGAAGTTTATTTTTTAAACTCATTCACATCAGATCAGTCAGTCAGTCATCAGTGGTCATTCATTCCGTTTGTTTCTCCAAGCAGACTTGAAATAAACTAATCGTCGGTTCAATATATGTTATTTGAAATTGTTTTTAATTTTATCAGTCATTATTAATGAAAATATTTAAACAAAAATGCGGCTAAGAGTTTTATAAAGATTTAAAAAACTGTCTGTTATTTTGATGTGTGTTTATGAATTGTTTTGGTGCCATTCACCTATATTGATTTATCATGCCAGTGACCTGTTTTTCGTGTTTGTAATGAGTAACACATAAATATTTAATGTAACCATTAGACGGCTGCATACACATGTTTCGGGATGAGTTTCTGATAGGAAACAGTGAACCGAAAGTGATATGATGGAAGAGTTAGTGCACAAAAATACATTAAGGTTCATAGTGATTAGCTGAAAACTTGCGAAAACGTTTATAATTCGTTATGGTTTGCATTTTTCACAATGATGACGCCTATTGAGGAGAAGAAAGATGAACATATATATACAGAGGTATTATTTGATTTTAATCTTATTTAAAAATTAAGAGCCTTTTTAATCCCGCCAAATTTTTATCCAAGTGCACGACCAAATTTATATGTTTATACCTTTCCTATATTCCTATTGAAATAATAAAAAAATATAATTCTAGTAAAAAAATAAAGTTTAAGCTTCCCTTTATTTTTTTTAATTATTATCAATTCAAAGTACCAGGAACTTAATTAACTATGTATATACCGTTGCCTCAATAAAAAAAATTCGAGAAAAAAATAAAGTTTATTTTTTTTAAGTAATTATTGCCATTGTATCAGGATTAATAAAGTATTTAATATTAAAATAAACATGTTGTTGAACCAAACTAAACTCTCTAAATTACTTACTTTATCTTTAAGGTAATTGCACAGTATTTTCAGTAAAAAATATCTCTAAATAGTAGTAAACCAACATCATACTACATATCTGCTTCTCTACTTCTAAATTATAGAATAATGTTGAAACATTGCCTCTCATTAACATATTTGCTAGGTATGTATGTAGGTAGGTATGTACCATATTTTTTTTATTGAGCCTAATGTCAGGTGCTAAGACCTGTGGCACTGTGACCTGCATTGATCTATTGTGCTCACCCTTTTACAAAGTCCACTACCTAGACCTGTCAGGGACAAGAATTTAAGGATATTCTTAGGCGCTATGGTTTTTATGTAGACAGACAGACACTCCAATTCTATTTATATGTATAGATGAAGATCTATAAATATAAATAAAATTGGTCTGTCTGTCTGTGACAGACACTCAAATTTTATTTGTATGTAGAGATGAAGATCTTATATAAATAAAATTGGAGTGTCTGTCTGTAATATTAAAATATCTGTTTTACTATATGCATGCATGCATACATATGGTACATACACCAAAATAACATTTTTACAATTTTTGTCTGTCGGTCTGTTTGTTCTGGCTAATCTCTGAAATGGCTCGACCAATTTTGACGGGACTTTTATTGGCAGGTAGCTGATGTAAAGTTAAATTCCATGCGGACGAAGTTGCATGTACAGCTAACATACATTATAAGTAATATTGTAATCCTATTAATATAGTCATTCTGCAATCCAAATTAAGTTGGTAAAAGGTAATGATTAAAAAATGAGGTGTGTACTATTTATTGAATCATTTAAATCAATTAGTGCAAATTGGTGGTTCGTATTCACACACTTAAAATGTAAAGTAATAATAAAATTATTTAAAAGAGCAACACGCAAGTTTCTTGCTCGTTCTTCTTGTGATGAGACAGCTTTCCGAACGAGCGGTAGATTAAAAAATGTAATGACTATTCAAAAGTGCTTCAATGTAAGTTTATTTGAATAAATGATTTTCTATTCTATTCTAATTCAATTCAAAACATCTTTCTACATAATCATCTTTCTGTAATGTCCTGCAGCATATACAAACCTAATAAAGCACTATTCAATCTATGCTCATCAGTTTCTGAGACAAATGGCTTCTTCCTCAATAATTCATCATTCATTACAACACATATTCGAATAATTTTTTCAAAGAGGAAAATAAATTTTAATCTAGCCAAAAATTTTGATGATGTTAAAACTACAAAACCACTTTAAAATTAGTGGATATTAGGTATTTTTAATGATCCTAACCAATCTCAGCATAATAGGCAGTGTGTATGCTATAAAAATCTTTAGAGCACAAAAGAAATGTATCAGAGTGTTGTGCGGGGCGTATTTCTTAGACAGCTGTAGACTATTGTTTAAAGAAAAAAAATATTTTACCATTACCATGTCTACATATATTTGAAATGCGTTTATTTGTAAAAAGAAATATCATATTCGAAATTAATTCTAAAAATTGAAGACTATGAATACAAAATAAATTTATAATACTGATGCAGAGACATGTGAAATGTTTCAAAGAAATTGTATGGCCATGCAGCCATTAAATTATACAATAAATTGTCTGATAGTGTAAAAATATTACTATACACTCAATTTAAAGCAAAATTGTTTAAATATTTAATTAATAATTGTTTTTATTCTATAGAAGATTTTACATCGAACTGTAATTTATGAGAATTTAATATATTTAAGTATCTAATTAAATTATAATTCAAAAATTAATTTATATTAGTAGTAGTTCAAATAATTTTATGTTTTTAAATAATTTACACACCTTGAATGGTAAATATTGCTGAACACCTCATTAATTGTTGTGTAAGATCTGCTCTATGCAATTACCAGTATTTTGTAAATAAACATTCATTTCATTTCATTTCATTTACCTCCTCTGTCTAGTCTATACTCCTGCAATTTCTCTGTTCCTTCCAACGAAAATAGTCTAAGATTAATATTAGACTTTTATTGATAATAAGATTAGTTTATTTCTTATGGATGATAATGGAATTGTGTACTAATGGTAACCCGCCTGCACTAATGGTTTACTGGCAGGGCACCAGTGGAGGGTGGTAAGATGAGCATGAGGTCATCACAATGGGCTAACTGACCTGACTTCATGCTCATCTTATCATCCACCACTGCTTGCAGTGTAAACCATAAGGCAGATGACTGTACCATTACTTTGTAATCAATTAAATAAAAAATTCTTCAAAATGACAGTGTTATAATAAATAAACAACGGTTAGTTATAATAAAGACGGTGTGTCCAGATCCGCACGGGCATGGTGCAGGTGTCGGACGGCAAGTCGCGGCCGCGGCCGGCGCGGCTCGTGCTCACCATGGACGCGGTGACCGTGCAGCGCGAGGTGCCCGTGCCCGCGCAGCCGCCCAAGGACAAGAACGTGCCGCACGCCAGGGTAAGTGGCCACGCTACGAAGAAACGATGCTGGCGGACCTCTAAGTGCGGAGCCATAGAGACGACAACATAATGTACGCTAGGTTAAGTAGTCACGCGTTGCTGTGGCGCTGCTGGCGGGGATCGAGGTGCGGGGCCGTCGAGAATAGAACGTACCGCACGGCAGTGTAAGTGACTATGCGTCGCTGAGGCGCTGCTTACTGGGTGCGGGAGCATTGAGATAAGAACATACTGTGCGCCAGGGTCAGTGGCTACACGTTGCTGGGGTCGATACTGGCGGGGCTCGAGGTGCGTGGGCGACGAGACATGAACATACTGTACGCCAGGGTAAGGGGTTACGTGTCCCTGGGGAAGATGCTGGCGGGGCTCGAGGTGCGGGGCCGTCGAGATAAGAACATACTGTACTCCAGGGTAAACGGCTACGCGTCGCTGTAGTTGAATGTTAGGGGATATGGCTTATCCTATGTCTTTGTAATAGACCTACAAATAGATATTTTGAGTATATGATTTTCTAAAATTCCAGGAGCGTATGGTGCAGGTCACCCGTCAGAAGGTGGGAGGTCTAGGTCTAAGTATAAAGGGTGGTTCGGAACATAAACTACCGATACTCATCTCAAAGATATACAAAGACCAGGCCGCCGACCAGACGGGGCAGCTGTTCGTCGGCGACGCTGTTATTAAAGGTATGGTTTGACCACATATATTATTATTTCCACGCTGTTGTTAGATATAATTCATAAAATACGTTACAAATATACAGAAAACACCCAGATCGATACAAACAATGATACTCTTGAATGCAAAATGTTTCTACTGTGCGAGGAATAGAAGCCACGACAATCGGAAGTATAGCGGTGTCCTAAACCGCTATATCATAGAGGCAGAATGTTCCCAATATGTAACTGTTTGCTATTTCAGCTAACATAAATAATTGTTCTTAACAATCCATGTGAAACCAACTGTACTATGTTTCTTTCCTTGTTTGATTCAGAAATATAACTTGCATCATGCTTTGCCTTATGTTGAGTATTTTAAAATTGAGGAACGTTTTGTGAGACGCGAATTAACATCCTCATATCTATTATTAGATTTAAAGACAATGTAACGTATAAGAAAATAATAATAAAGTCTTTTTATTTCCGTATCCTGATGGATACGGAAGTAACAGGCTGAACGTACTGATGTACGGTCTTACAAATAAAAGTAAAATGTTGGTATATTTTTTCTTATGTTCTACTTGTTAGTATTTCAAATATACTATTTCTGGACACGTCTTTGGGTGAAGGCCTCCTCCATCTTTGTCCAAGATTCTCTGTTTTTGCCCATAGTTAACCAGTTTTTTTTCTATATATTCCACTATATCAGCCCACCGTTTTATTGGTCTTCCAACTTTCCTTGTGATCCTTTCCATTTTGTAGTTTTGGTTGTCCATATGCCTTCTGTAGTAGGTTCAGACGCTAGAACATCGACGCAAAGTGTCTAGTCTGTCGGTGTTTTATAGGATACACTTTGGCGAGTGCGCACAGGACCTGCATAATTTGATCTTGCCTTCTCCTTTTTACCACCGAACTACACGACACTGGGGCTTCATCCGTACGTCGTGGAAATTCCGCACATTCGCACTGAGTGGTTCGCATCGTCCTTCCTAATACGCACTGCCAAAGAGTGGAACACACTTCCAGCTTTTGTGTTCCCGGAGAAATACAACCCCGGATTCTTCAAGTCTATGGTGAATAGATATCTTCTGGGTAAGCGCGCTACATAATAGGTCTTGCCATCATTTACCATCAGATAAGGTAAGACCAAGCGCAATCCCATTATTAATAAAAAAAAAAAAGATATGAACTACTGGCATTTCAGTTACAGGGCTTGATTGACTGCACCTGTTACTTCAATTTAGTGGATTGTTGTTTCAATTTAGTTTGCTGTCTAATTTATTACTTCTTACATTGTTGTTTTCTTATTCCCATTAAACTTCTCTCAATTATGTTGTTAAAATTGTTGTTATGCTCTTTTAGTAAAAGTCTACGCTTAGCTGGCATATAATAGACAGTGCAAAATGTGTCAAACACTAATTTCTTCATGTCTATGGGGCTGATTGAGCAGAGCGCAAAGTGCGGAGTGGTATTAAAGATCAGATTTGCACTCTTTGTAATGATACTCCTTCGAAATGGCTTGACCGATCCAGACAAAAATTTCCTCGAAGGTCGACCATCGGACCTCCATCGTTTACCACCCCAAAAATTTCCGATCGGCCAAGATCGAATTTTTAAGAATAAACGCTCTCCACTCAACATATGTCCTAGTGTGTATCAACATATCGGTAATAAACCTAGTTATAAGGGTTAATATAAGATGATGCTTTGAAATTGTTAACTGATTAGTAAAGTATGTTATAGAGTAATCAATCTTAATATTTATTGACCCAGATGTGTCTAAACTCCTTATTTATCGTGAATGTACTGGGCTGACTAAATCAGTTCATTAATTCATTTGTGTAGTAAAAAAAAAGGGGCTCCTGGAAACGCAATCTCGGCATACAAAAGCGCAGTAATACTCCCATCTCGCACAAATTTTACAACATCAATCTTGCATTTCATATCACGCGCTACCTCACGGGATTTACTGAATAGGTTTGTCTGTAAGAGTTACCTTGAGGCGTACCTACAAGCGTCTTTCGTAATGCATTTTCTTAGATACTGGTTTTCTTTATATTTGTGTCTGTCTCTGTGTTATTATTATGATTCAACTTGCTATTTATTCTATGAATGTTATGTATGTATTCACAAAAAGGAATATATCTTAGTATTTATATCCGTTGTCTACTATCTATAACACAAGCTCTGCTTAGCTATTACTAAATGTCGTTGTGTGAATTATCCAAGGATATTATATTATTACTAGCTGTCCCGGCAAACGTTGTTTTGCCATATAAATTAATAACGCTATAAAAAAATAGGGGTTGATGATAGAAGGGTGAAAATTTAGGATTGTATGTATTTTTGTATGTTGTATATCATAAAAAAATAGAAACAAAAATTTTGTCTAAAAAATAAAAAATAAATTTAGGGGTGGACTACACCTAACATTTAGGGGGATGAAATATAGATGTTGGCCGATTCTCAGACCTACTCAATACGCTCACAAAATTTCATGAGAATCGGTCAAGCCGTTTCGGAGGAGTATGGGAAAGAAAACTATGACACGAGAATTTTATATATAAGATTTGTATTGTACATAATTTGTGTATAACCTCATTTCGTATCCACTTTGGCGGACTTTTCATCTGTATTTACTCTTGATGTAAATACAAATTTTCAAGGTCTACCTTAAAATCCATTGGACTAACAAGTGTTGATGCAGGTTGATCATTTTATTCTGTTTGTTTTTATATCTATTATGTACCTTATTTCGTATCCGGTTTGATGGCTTTTTCATGTTTACTTTTTCTATGTTTTAAGTAATTACTGCTTTTCAAAGCCTGCTCAAAAATCCATTGTACTAAGTGTTCAGCAGGTTGAACATTTTATTTTGCGTTTGTCTTTCTATCTAAATATATATAACTCAAAGGTGACTGACATAGTGATCTATCAACGTACAGCCCAAACCACTGGACGGATCGGGCTGAAATTCGGCATGCAGGTAGATGTTACGACGTAGGCATCCGCTAAGAAAGGATTAATATAAGTTAAGGGCATAAAAGTTTCTATGAATCTTTGTCAATTTTAAACTCAGACTTTGCATGCATAAAGCTACTATGATGTAGGCATCCCCTAAGAAAGGATTTTGATAAATTCCACCACTAAGGGGATAAATTAACGCGAGCGAAGCCGCGGGCAAAAGCTAGTCTTTGATATTGCCTATATGTTATTTTCATCTAATTCATCTAAGCTGATAGAATGTCTACCGCAAATAGTTGCAACTGTAAATTCAATTGCTTCACTCGCCATCAATTAAGTCAGTCTGCTATGTAGGCCGCTTAATTGTGTTCAATTAGACTCTAGACAATTTGCATCCCTAACTACGCAGTATGAAATTACAGCTACCGGACAGCTGTGTCCTTAGACACTGAAAGTTGTAGTACACTTAACTAATGAGTTTAAAATTGACTCCCACTTTGAATATGACGGGCGATTGACATACGAGAACACTATGTATCGATGGCTTCACTGGTTTAGCGGTTTATCGAACTGCTTTATTTTTGATGGTCGCGGTTTCATTTCCACGCACGGTACAAACATTTATGTGATTTTTTGTGTCGGTCTGCGTGTTTTCTATGTATTTCTATCAGTTGTCTAGTACCCATAACTAGCTAGTATGAAATTTTGGACACATATATATTTATAGAGAAGGAATGCAGAATGCTAATCTTAAAAAAATATACATATAAAAACTACATTAAATCTATAAAAAAAAACAGTACACAACATTACATGCCATGTATTTGACACAAATACGCATGCAAGTAGTCTTTGATGATAGAACCGTATTAAAATTTGATCTTAAAATTTAAATTATTTATGGTCGAATTTCGAATACGCGATTACTAGTTATTGCTATATCAGTATCGTTAAAACTTCCAGTGAATGGGGAGTACATAACAGCGTGTAAGCATGACGATGCCGTGAATATACTGCGGAATGCGGGAGATATCGTGGTACTTACTGTGAAGCACTACCGAGCCGCAACACCCTTCCTGCAGAAACAAGGTCGGTAATTTTTTTATTATTACCTACACTGGACTTTCCCATGGAAAATGCGTAAGGTTTTACAACAAACTGCCGGAGTCTGTCCTTAATCTGTCAGAAAAAAGATTCCATTTTCTTTGTAAAGAATATTAAATAAAGGAGTTTACGTTTTTTTTTTTTAAAAAAATAAAAATTCGTAGCGCTAACAACGAATAAAATATTTTTTATTAATCCCGACAACTTTATGCCGGCAGTTAATGTTCTTATGGGTCCACCCGTTCCGTCCCTACCACGTTTTCACACACGCACACGACACCGTCCTCGCCGGCGAAGACGACGACCCCAAACACATTATACCGCGCAGTCAAATGGGCACCTGCAAGTGCGTGCACTCGGACGCTCTTCTGATCGATGCCCCGTCCAATTCAAACGGGGATCGAAATTACGACGGCCTGTGCTGAGGTTCGAACCCGGTGCGGTGCTGTCATACTAAAGTCGTATCCGTTAGGCTGGAGTTGGCCTTCAACCGCTCAATAAGTCCTTCCGCGTGTTTGGAGTGCCATCTGCACTCGTTCCTTATCGTACGGTGAAACTGCAAAGGCCAGCTGCTGCCAACAGCATTAGAGTAGTCAGAAAAAAATCCTGAAAGCAATGATTTGTTCTAATACATTAATTTAATTAGAAATACTTGTCACTGCACTTAATGTTGCTTATTTTTTCATTTTTATTTTGATGTCATTGAGAAATATACTATTGTAAGTATTTGGATTGTTATCCATTTTGTATCCGTATCCACAGCGGATGGTGCATCAGACACGGACAGCAGTACGGGCGATGACCACCCCTCGTTGCACGGGAAGAGTGTCGATGCGAACTGCAACTCTGAGAAGATTACTGAGACCAATGGCGGATGGCAGGTGAGCGAATGACGTGAGCCATTTGGACACTAGATTAACTGAGTATTCGGATTGAAGAATATAGAAACCTATAAATGTATGTTATGACACCTTATGATATATAACGCTACAATAATGAGGCTATAGTACCGCTCTACAGTCTGGTATTTTGGTCTTCCTTAGAGCGCGTGGGGCTCCGTCGAGGAAGGAAGTCGTCCGCCGTCTGCAGCCTCCGCCTCCCCGCGACCAGACGCCGGGCCCCCACCCCCCGCCACCACGCAGTGGGTGGACGTCGTGTGCGGTGAGTACACCTCACACAGGAGGCGGCCCCCGCCCCCCGCCCCCCGCCACCACGCAGTGGGTGGACGTCGTGTGCGGTGAGTACACCTCACACAGGAGGCGGCCCCCGCCCCCCGCCCCCCGCCACCACGCAGTGGGTGGACGTCGTGTGCGGTGAGTACACCTCACACAGGAGGCGGCCCCCGCCCCCCGCCCCCGCCACCACGCAGTGGGTGGACGTCGTGTGCGGTGAGTACACCTCACACAGGAGGCGGCCCCCGCCCCCCGCGCCCCGCCACCACGCAGTGGGTGGACGTCGTGTGCGGTGAGTACACCTCACACAGGAGGCGGCCCCCGCCCCCCGCCCCCCGCCACTTCACGCAGTGGGTGGACGTCGTGTGCGGTGAGTACACCTCACACAGGAGGCGGCCCCCGCCCCCCGCCCCCCGCCACCACGCAGTGGGTGGACGTCGTGTGCGGTGAGTACACCTCACACAGGAGGCGGCCCCCGCCCCCCGCCCCCCGCCACCACGCAGTGGGTGGACGTCGTGTGCGGTGAGTACACCTCACACAGGAGGCGGCCCCCGCCCCCCGCCCCCCGCCACCACGCAGTGGGTGGACGTCGTGTGCGGTGAGTACACCTCACACAGGAGGCGGCCCCCGCCCCCCGCCCCCCGCCACCACGCAGTGGGTGGACGTCGTGTGCGGTGAGTACACCTCACACAGGAGGCGGCCCCCGCCCCCCGCCCCCGCCACCACGCAGTGGGTGGACGTCGTGTGCGGTGAGTACACCTCACACAGGAGGCGGCCCCCGCCCCCCGCCCCCCGCCACCACGCAGTGGGTGGACGTCGTGTGCGGTGAGTACACCTCACACAGGAGGCGGCCCCCGCCCCCCGCCCCCCGCCACCACGCAGTGGGTGGACGTCGTGTGCGGTGAGTACACCTCACACAGCAGGCGGCCCCCGCCCCCCGCCCCCCGCCCCCCGCCACCACGCAGTGGGTGGACGTCGTGTGCGGTGAGTACACCTCACACAGCAGGCGGCCCCCGCCCCCCGCCCCCCGCCACCACGCAGTGGGTGGACGTCGTGTGCGGTGAGTACACCTCACACAGGAGGCGGCCAGCCGCGTCTCTGGTAGGTCCATTTTTTTTTTGTTAGAGCGTAAAGAACAACCGAGGACGTAGTTCATTTCGTGTTAAGTGACAACCGCCGTCCATAAGCACAGGTAACTTTGTAAGTATTTGTTGACGTTTCTAAGAAGCAATAAACGTTTATTTTTAACAGAGTCAATTCAATTTAATTATCATTATACTGTTGAGTTAAGCTAAAAGTAAATATTGTCGACAGTTCCCCTCATGATGGGTTACGTGACGAGGTACGTGCTGGGAACGGACAAGCTCAGGCCGGGCGCATTTGAAGTAAGTGTACTATATCTATTTAGGTATGCATATGTAGAAGTAAGTTGCATCTTTGTAGAGACCCTAACGTCTTCAATAATTGTCTTTGCCAAACTGAAGAAGAAACGCCACTACACGAAATATCGGCTTTAGAAAGTTTAAGTTTTCCCGAGGAGAAAAAGATCATCGCTCCTAAGAATATCCTTCAATTCTTGTCCCTGACGGGTCTAGGTAGCGAACTTTGAAAAAGGGCGAGCACAATAGACTATGTAGGTCGCAGTGCTACATGTGCTAAGGGCATCTTACAATGGTCTAAACAACCCAATAAAAAAAACGTCTTAAACCCTGAAAAAGATCTATCATTTCGCGTTAGTACATTTTATCAGTACTATAAGTTCTTAAGTCAGGTTTTAAGAAAATTAAAACAATAATGGGCGTCATTGATGTTAAGACAGGTACAGCTTCCACCTGCATCCTCGAGAGAGGCCAATCAGCAGTAAGTTGAGATTCTGCGTTGTTGTAGGTGCGAGGAGCGCGTGGAGGCAGCACGGGCGTGCTGCATGCGGAGGAGCCGGCCGCGCTGTCTCGATGGCTGAAGGCCATCTCCGACAACGTCGTCGGACTCACCAACCTGCAGGTGCGCGTCCTGGACTTTGACCCCCCACCCACCCCCCGCCCCCTGTCTACTTGTTAACTGCTACAGGTGCGACAGCACGTGGAGGAGCCGCCATTCAGGGATCTTGGAATATTCCTTTAATGAAAGGAATGTATCCTCTGACTAAAATATTATATGGCTCGTAGCAGCAGACTTTCTACACGTGCCACCTTTAGTCCTTGCAATTTCCTAGAATTCTTATCACATCGCACGTGTAACATAAGCGCGACCTTCAAGCCATTGCACGTGTACGCGACACGTGTAACTTTGTATATAGGGCCAAAACATCTTAATAAAAACACTTCTATTCTGTCCGTCGGTACATTACAACCTCCCAGATTCTCTACAAAGTATCGTCATACACCTAAACCTTTAAGGTACACCCCTTAAAAGTTCTTAAATTGAGTTTATTTGAATATAGAATACTAGCTGTACCCGCGACTTCGTCCGCGTAAAGAATGAAAAAATTTTTAATGACCTAACCCAATAAAAGTTCATCGTTTTAGCTTCAAAAATGACGATACAAAATTCCATACAATTCAATCAACAGCCTAAAATATAAGTTTCAAGCTTTGATAATGACGACACATCCATACGATCTTTCGTCTCAATTTCACCCCTTAAAATCTTTTGTAAAAGTGCTTAAATTAAGTTTATTTTAACGAATTATTTTCTATTCTATTCTTTTATTTATGTTTGTACTATCCCATTTGGCATTCGTTTAAACAATCAATTAGGATAACAGATGGTATTATAACTATTGTGATTGTGTGTGCGCAGATGAAGCTGTTCAACCGCCATCTGCCGGCCGGGGAGCGCATCGAGTACATGGGGTGGGTGGTGGAGGGCGAGGTGTCTGCGGCGCAGCCCTGGCAGACCTACCGCCCTAAATTCCTCGTCCTGAAGGGAACTGATGTCATGCTCTTTGATGTGCCACCGGTCAGTACCCGTGTGTCTAACTAATGGTTCTTGTAGGACCAATTTTAGTGCACTCTCTCTCGTTAACTTTCGTTGTAATTGAAGTCTCTTGTAGGACCAATTTTTTTTCACGACCAATTCAAGACTCTTAACCTTTCAACTGTTGCTAAAATGACATTAATGCCCTATCTGTGGGACCAATTACAGGACTTCTCATAGGTGGAAATTTGAGCCCATCTATGGAGTATTTATGTTAGTATTCGAGTCCAATAAATTGGCTCCTTTGCATATCAGAAGTTAAGAAATTTTAATTATTATCATAATCATGATTAAAGTTTCTTATATATAATTATTCTATTCTCTACTACTTACTCTTCAAATAGGATCAATGTGTACTCGTCCGATCGGCAGATGAACGTGGCCGAGCTGGCCAAGTGCCCGGAGACGCTGAAGGTGTACCAGACGATGTTCCGCACGGTGAAGGAGAGCGAGACGGTGGACTGGCGCCAGCACTGCTTCCTGGTGCAGGCCAGCGCGGCCGGGCCCGGCGCCGCCGGCCCGCGGTACTTCTCCACCGAGACCAGGCAGCAGCTGCTGCGGGTCGACCGCGCCTGGACTGCCAACGTGCTGCACTCCGTGGTGCGGCTCGGGGTGCGTGCTCACTACTACAGAGACAGCTGCTGCGGGTCGACCGCGCCTGGACCGCCAACGTGCTGCACTCCGTGGTGCGGCTCGGGGTGCGTGCTCACTACTACAGAGACAGCTGCTGCGGGTCGACCGCGCCTGGACCGCCAACGTGCTGCACTCCGTGGTGCGGCTCGGGGTGCGTGCTCACTACTACAGAGACAGACCGCGCCTGGACCGCCAACGTGCTGCACTGTGGTGCGGCTCGTACTACGACCGCGCGCCTGGACCGCCAACGTGCTGCACTCCGTGGTGCGGCTCGGGGTGCGTGCTCACTACTACAGAGACAGCTGCTGCGGGTCGACCGCGCCTGGACCGCCAACGTGCTGCACTCCGTGGTGCGGCTCGGGGTGCGTGCTCACTACTACAGAGACAGCTGCTGCGGGTCGACCGCGCCTGGACCGCCAACGTGCTGCACTCCGTGGTGCGGCTCGGGGTGCGTGCTCACTACTACAGAGACAGCTGCTGCGGGTCGACCGCGCCTGGACCGCCAACGTGCTGCACTCCGTGGTGCGGCTCGGGGTGCGTGCTCACTACTACAGAGACAGCTGCTGCGGGTCGACCGCGCCTGGACCGCCAACGTGCTGCACTCCGTGGTGCGGCTCGGGGTGCGTGCTCACTACTACAGAGACGCGCCAGCAGCGACACTCTCCCACTCTCTCCCTCTACCTCTCTCTCTCTCTATAGGCACTCTACTCCCCGCTCCTGGCCCTCACCGCGACTACCTGCTTACTGTTTAATCAATAATTTTTTAAACCAATTAATTATTATATTATTTAATTTCTTTCAATCATGATTAAACTACACTACGATTAAAACAATCGTCATTAAAAAAGTATTCCTAATCATGATCGGATAGGTAGGATAAGTTTGTTCATTAAAACCCCTAATTCATAGAAAGACCTCCATTTTATATAAAAATATAAGTCTAACATAATTAACCACTCGGCCAAACCGCTAGTATTTCGTGTCCTTAACATGAATGTTGAAAGAAAATCACGGAATACTAGTAAAGTAATAAGACTGAAAAATAATTTAAGAAATAATTTAATTTAAATAAATAAAGAAAATATTGTTTGTGTGGAATTTTAACCAACAACCTTGAAATATATAATACAATAGTGGGAATCGGCGTTCACCAACTGAACTAACAGAATATGGTAATAAATTGTCGAAATATTATTTAAATACTAGCTGTACCCGCGACTACATGCGCGTGAAAATTAACTTTATTTGTCTAAAATACAAAAATAGCCTAAGTTACTCCTTACATCAGCCAATAAAAGTCCCGTCAAAGTCGTTCCAGATTTCAGAGATTAGCCGGAACAAACAGACAGACAGACAAAAATATAAAAAAATGTTATTTTCGTGTATGTACTGTATATATATTCTTATGCATGTAGTAAAAAACGGTTATTTCAATATTACAAACAGACACTCCAATTTTATTTATATGTATAGATTAATACACCCTATCTTACTAGCATTATATTTGACCTTATAAACGCCTGTCTCTACACTCCACTAATATTACCCGACGTGTCTACCGGAATCTGCGTCGAACGCTTCGCTAGCATAGCTAGAAGATTGTTGTCCATCGAGCCTGCGTTTCAGGTGTGGGTACGGTTGCAAACAGGCTTGAAATTCACGATTATTCAACCTGCAAATAATATTAATGTGGTAATAACCCCAAAACCAACATTCTTTGGTCCTTCGAGCCGGATATATTACAACCGGACTGATCACAATACAATATGTCCTTAAACGTGCCTGCCAAAATGTATGCTATATACTAGTGTTAACCCTAAAACCCACAATCTTTGGTCCTTCGAGCCGGATATATTACAACCGGACTGATCACAATACAATATATCCTTAAACATTCCTCCCAAAATGTATGCTATATACTAGTGTTAACCCTAAAACCCACATTCATTGGTCCTTCGAGCCGGATATATTACAACCGGACTGATAACAATACAATATATCCTTAAACGTACCTGTCAAAATGTATGCTGTATACTAGTGTTAACCCTAGTACCAAGATTCTTTGGTCCTTCGAGCCGGATATATTACAAGTCACATGTCAGTACTATGAATTGTTTGTTTGAGTACAATAAAACGGCAATACTTGCTTAAACATCTCAGTGTATCCCAAAATGTATGCTATATTAGTATATATTAGTATATAGCATACATTTTGGGAGGAACGTTTAAGGATATAATGTATTGTGATCAGTCCGGTTGTAATATATCCGGCTCGAAGGACCAAAGAATGTGGGTTTTAGGGTTAACACTAGTATATAGCATACATTTTGGGTTTTAGGGTTAACACTAGTGTGTTAACCCTAAAACCCACATTCTTTGGTCCTTCGAGCCGGATATATTACAAGTCACATGTCATTACTATGAATTGTTTGTTTGAGTACTATAAAACGGCAATACTTGCTTAAACATCTCAGTGATTTCCAGTGCGATGATTGTCACAGTCCGTGTAGAACCAGGGTTCAGCAATGCACTCTCACCAAAGTAGGCTCCGTCACGCAAATGGGCTAACTGAAAGTTGTATGGCCCTTTTAGTGTCATACATAATGTTTACTAAGAGAGCAGCGCGACGGCGCATCTTCGGACTTCCTTTATTCAAATAAACTTAATTTAAGCACTTTTGAATAGTCATAACATTTTTTTAATCTACCGCTCAATCGGAAAGCTGTCTCATCACAAGAAGAACGAGCGAGAAACTTGTGTGTTGCTCTTTTAAATAATCCTTGTAAGTTCACATTTTACAATTCGAAACGTGTGAATACAAACTACCAACCAGCACTAGTTTATTCAGGTCAAATATAAATACACAATAAGATTAAATAAGTCGTTAATTATTCAGAATAAAACTAAATAAATCTATTAAGAGTAAAAATTCGTGTTACTTTGATCGTGAACCTTCTACTAGTCTGTTTAAAGAAATATGTTTTATTATAAATTGGATAACTTTTTTTTGCTATCGATGGTTGGCCTACTGCCCTGTAGGTCCATAAGGTTTTGCTTAAATTGGGTAAAGAATAATATTGTATAAATTAAATTATCGAATACTGTACCTCTTTCCCATTGGAATCAATGACTGCGACTGTACCGGAAGAGATCATGTAGATTGAACCTCCAGTCTGACCACACTTTATCACCTCCTGAAGAAATAATTATCAATTACTATAACATGATATCTAATAAAAGCGTTGTGGCCGTTAGGACAGTGATTTATAACCCCATTTAGACCTAGAAGGTCTTGTCGACACACAAAAAAACTTGGTGCCAATTTAAATTTCTACAGTGATGGGAACACTAAGAACAGATTAATTAGGAGGTAGTAATTTAAAAAAATATTATTGAGAGAGAATCTTTGATCAGTGAGTTCATATTTCCGATGAATACTGGAATAACACAGCTTTCACCATTGTATACCATATACTTCAAAATAGAGTCATCCACTCGCTTTTAAAAGGTCCTACAAATCTCTTCCAAACATTACTTATATTTCTTTCCCAAAGTTTCAGTCACAAATACGCCTGCCCAGTATGGTGAATGGTGTGGACAAATTTTCCAATAAATAGGACGCTAAATGAGAATATATTAATCAAGAAGATTTCTAGACATATTCTCACAGCACCATCTAGTCTCTAACTAACAAGAGCATAGCTCATATAGACCTCATTGCGGTCACGTATGGTTCAACCCGTTTAAGCAAAATTTTAATATAAATAAAGACCAACATACCTCACCCGGCATGTACAGAACTTGCGTCAAACTAAACACGATTGTATTTATCAAAGACAGTGGCATATCTTGGAATAGTGGTACATTCACCACTAGCTTCTTACAACAGTGCATGTTGATGTCCTGTTTAATTTGCTCATTGATAGTATTCATTATATTTTCCTCGTTAAAATAATGCGCGTAAAACTTATAATTCAAAAACATCTTTATCTTCTGTTGCAAAGACGTTGGCAAACGTTTGAACCACATGTACTCCTCCAATTCCTTTAATCTGCCGTTGTAAATATACGTATCTATCCGTCCGTACATGCCCAGACGGAGTAGAGTCGTGAAGGTGTAACTCAAGAAGACTAAGCCTATAAGACCTATGGTGGAATTGAGAATGAGTTGTGGTAGCAGATGGTCGTCGATAGCGCTGTAATAATCTGCTCCGACGCAAAGTCCACAAATGAAATACAAATTTCTAGTATACTTCTGAAACACAGACGTGTTCGTGTCATGGATGACGAGGAACTCCTTCAGCCACGCCAGTTGTCGGCCTTCCAGCTCGTAGAAATGTGGGACAAACGTCGGCACTTGGTAGTGGATATACGTCATCCAGTGAAAGAACAAAATCGTTCGTAAGACCACTGTCGTAGCTACTGCTTTCGCGTACGACAGCCCTACTTGTCGATACAGGTTCCTCCATTGCTGCTTGAGAGATATCAGCTTGAACAGTTTGAATAGGTACATGACCGTGTATGTGGGGTACTCGCAACCTGGTATGATTTGTATGAACTGCAACGGGAGGGCCCCAATTAGTTCCAACACGAAGGGCCCTCGGATGTAGTGACGAGCGATTTCACGTGGCTCCAAAATGACGCGTCGCGCGCTACCTCCGTCGCGGCCGGTTACGAATTTCGTGTATATATCTAGTAGTGCCACTATGTCGCCGAAGATTATGAGCGAATCATACGGATCTGGACCTGAAATACATAATAATTACAAATATAATAATAATAATCTCAGGACAATTCACACAGCGCCATATAGTACCAAGTCAAGCTAGATAAAGCTTGTGTTATGGGTACTATATAACTTATACATCCATAAATACTTTTTTTTTGTAAATACATATTCTACATAGAAAACACCCAGACCGATAAATTCAAATTCAAAAATCATTTATTCATGTACGACATTTTAGCCGCTTATGAACGTCAAATTTTTACATTTTAATTTTTTTTTTCCTACCGTCCAATACAATCATACTCATGAATACAAATGTTTGTGCCGTGCGAGGAATCGAATCCGCGACCATCGATCGTAAAGCGGTGTGCTAGACCGCTAGACCACCGAGGTCGTCAAATACATGTTATGGATATTGTGATTTCGTGGTTGTACAGCAAATGTTTTTTTTTATGGATGATAATAAAATGGTGCACCTGCCTTCGCTAACGGTTTACGCTGTCAGGCACCAGTGGAAGCTGATAAGATGAGCATGAGGTCAGGAGGTCAGAAGGTCGTGGAGGTCAACACTGTACTTGTCATAGTATTTTGCTAGCAATGGGGTTATTGGTCCTCACTACTAAATCGTCCTGGCACAAATGGTTGGGCTCGATCTGGTAAAAATCGCTTCCCGAAGATAAGTATAAGATAGTATTCTATGTGTTTACACATGTAGAAATATTGGCCTCGGTAATTCAGTTACCATCAGGTCAGCCGCAAGCTCGTTTGTCCCCTATGCTTTAAAAAGAATTGGCAGTTTCTTTCGAATTACTTACATGTAAGAAACACGTGCATGGGTGCCCATAAAAATACAATGCAATTCATGACCATTGCGAAACAGTCCCAATACAATTTTATCGCGCTGTACGGGTGTAGGATAAACCAATGGCCACCATCCACCTGCAAATGACGGTGATGTTTCAGAACTATACCATACCATACATTACAATCGCAAGATTTTTTTTATACAATTTGCATTTTTACATCTTATATATAAAATTTTCGTGTCACAGTTTTCGTTCTCATACTCCTCCGAAACGGCTTGACCGATTCTTATGAAATTTTGTGAGCGTATTGAGTAGGTCTGAGAATCGGCCAACATTTATTTTTCATACCCCTAAATGTTAGGGGTAGTCCACCCCAAATTTTTTTTTTTTATTTTAAGACAAAACAACGTTTGCCGGTACAGCTAGTAATATATGAAATTCTTTCAATTAAATGGTTGCAACGAAGCTTTTCCGAAACAGCTTGACCAATACTTATAAAGTTTTGTGTGTATATTCAGTAGGTCTGAGAATAGGAAGTAAGTTATTTTTCATACACCTAAGTGATATATAGGTGTATACACCCAATTTTTTTTTATTTCAATTTATCAAGATGGCATCTAGGAGAAAGCGCGTGATCGTCATGCCGCATTGCTGTTGGGCCATTAGCAATAGTCTTAAGTTCCTCTTGCCCCCTACCAAACTTCCATAAATTACTAAAATATCTTATATTAATAAATGCGTTTAAGTTTACGAGAAGTTAGAAAAAATCTATTGACTCGTACACAAATAACAAATATGACAGGGCTAACTCAAGGATCTTTAAAATCCGCTTCGGAAAATACCTTACTGCCACCAGAACCCCCGATATCTGGCAACTTACTGGTGCATTTAGGGAGCTTGCTATAACCCTATATAACACTAGTTATTCGCCCGAGTGTACATGTATTATACATATAAACCTTCCTCTTGAATCACTCTATATACTAAAAAAACCGCTTCAAAGTGTTGCGTAAATTTTAAAGATTTAACCATACATAGGGACGGACAGACAGCGAGAGCAATTTTGTTTTATATTATGTAACTAGCGACTCGCCCCGGCTTCGTCCGGGTATTATACATGTATTATACATATAAACCTTCCTCTTGAATCACTCTATCTACTAAAAAAACCGCTTCAAAATCTGTTGAGTTGTTTTAAAGATTTAAGCATACATAGAGACGGACAGACAGCGAGACTTTGTTATACTATGTAATGATAAAAAATACAACAATTTGCACACGTCACAACAATAGTCAAGAGAACCCAACCAACCTGCTTCTTCCTTTCCATCCTCATGCATTTCTGGCTGCGGATATACAGCGTGGAGCCGTAGTGCCAGTCAGTTGGCAGCGTGAGTGCTCGCAACCTACACCATACAAAGTGGCACAGACCCGCAGTTGGCGGCAGGGAGGAACACGCAGTTTCCCGCGGTAACATGCACACGTGTTTCCCGTTCTCGTACATTATCATAAATTTTAAATCTTTGTCATATCGTATTTTTATCCTATTATTGGTCCAATTATTTTTATAAATTTCATGACAAGACATTCAGGAATGTTTTTCTTTATTGACGTGCCAGTTTGGAATTGATATCGTAAGAGTATTTGTGCAATAGTTGTGGATTCATGTTGTTTATAATGTTGTGTGTAATTTCAATAATATTAAATTAATTAATTTTTTTGTTTACAATATTATAAAAAATAATAAAATATTATAAAAAAGAACAAATAATACAAATGTGAGAAACTGTTTGTAGAAATAGAAATAGAAATAATCTTTATTCAAATAAACTCGTTACAAGCGCTTTTGAATAGTCATATTTTGATTCTACCACTCATTCGGAATGCAGATTCATCACAATAAGAATGAGCAAGAAACTTGTGTGTTGCTCTTTTGAACAGATGTTTTTTTTATATAATAATTACAGTATAACAAGTAAGAGGCATGCGATAATCAACATAGAAATCGCTACGCACTCATTAATGTAATCAGATAATATTGTCAGTGCTATGGATTTCAAGTTTTTTTATAAAAACATTATTGTCGTTAACGAAGTCTTTAATTTTATTTGTATGATATATAAATGACTAGACTTTTGGTACACATATTATATTCTAATATCACAACAAATATACTTTTTATCTTAGTTTACACAGGCAAGGCCAAGGTATAGAGCTAGTACTTCAAAAAATTATAAATAATATTATATATTACCAATAATTGTATGCATAATATTATATAAGAGATAATCAGAGATAAATGATTATTACTCTGTTAATTTGATTGACTTGATGCAATCTTATATATAAATTTCTCGTGTCACACTTTTCGTTCCCATACTCCTCCGAAACGGCTTGACCGATTCTCATGAAATTTTGTGAGCGGATTGAGTAGGTCTGAGAATCGGCCAACATCTATTTTTCATCCCCCTAAACGTTAGGGGTAGTCCACCCCTAAATTTTTTATTTTTATTTTAGGGCAAAACAACGTTTAACGGGACAGCTAGTAAATATATAAGTAACGCTAACCAGATAATAATGAGGTGTCGTGTGGTGTGTTACAGAAGAAGACGTTCACTGTGGTGCACCTGGGGCGCGCGGCGGGGCTCACGCTGGACTGGGCGGCGGGGTTCTCACTGACCGAGGGCACGCCCGGGGCGCCGCCCGTGTGGGCCTACAGGTGAGCCCCACCACTACCTCTTACTGAGATCATAGCCACCTCCGTAACCGCAACCCTAACCAACGGATATCCGATATGAACAAAATATCCGTAACCGAAATAAAAGTGTCGGATAATATCGGATAGGGGCGGAGCCTAATTGAGACACGTTATGTAACCATTTTATTACTTATTTGTAATTTACTTTTAACATCAGGTGTGCCGTATGTATGATCGGTGGACTGTATGGGTGTCTAAATAATAGTAATATATCAGGACAATTCACACAGCGCCATCTAGTCCCAAGCTAAGCAGAGCTTATGTTATGGGTACTAGACTGATATAAATACATGGATGCATTTTTTTGTAAATAAATACATATTATACATAGCAAACATTCAGACCGATACAAACAATCATACTCATGAATACAAATGTTTGTGCCGTGCATGGAATCGAACCCGCGATCATCGGACGTAAAGCGGTGTGCCAGACCGCTAGACCACCGAGGTAGTCGTATATCACTTTAAAAGTATTTAGATAATGATTAAGACGACGTGGTTAATTTATATAAGTCAATTAAATTAACCACATTACGAGGCAATTCTAGCTTCTATTTTTGAAAAATGTCATTTTCTATTTAATCGACAATATATAAAAGTACCACGTTCGATTCCCAGGAGTTGAATTTACTCACAGAGGGCAATATTTCTTTCCATTTCCATCACATTAAAAAAGTTAAAATGTTTATGAATTTTGTTTATATTAAAAAATTTTTCAGATTTTCTCAATTAAGAGGCTCAAGCGACGACGGCAAGTCGAAATTAAAATTGCACTTCCAAGACTCGGAAACTAAAGTTATCGAAACTAAGGTAAGTGGTTAAATAAATTAGTTTTTAACTTCTTTCTTTAAAATCTAATAATAGCTAGCTGTGCCCGCGACTTCGTTCGCATGTTATAGTGACCTTGATGTAATGGGTGGTATTGTAATGGGTGAAAACTGTGATCGGTACAGCCTATGCTGTAAATAATATAATTGACGTAGTGGAGTAACCTGAAACAGTCATGCTCGCTATAAAGTTCAAACTTGTGGCGACGTGGTGGGCCGGGTCGATGTGCTCCCTCAAATATGGTTGAGTACAATGATGGCTGGCTCATACGTCATACTCGTGAACGGGTGCTGCTTGTGGGGACTGGTCTGTTCAGGTTGTGAACACTGATTAAATTTTTTGTTCTTTGCGATAGCATATGCTGGTGGTCACTCTATTCTCCCAAATTTAAATTTTAATAACTGTATTTATCATAAACATGTTCCACTATTGTTTGAAAAAAAATACGAGCTGAGTTTCTTGTCAGTTCTTCTCATCTCGATATCATAATCATCCGAACTGACGGTAGATTTGACATATCATAAGAGTCTGTAATAGACCTACATGAATAAAGATATTTTGAATTTCAATTTGAATTTGAATTTGACGAACTAAAGAAAACATGAAATAATCTAATCCAAACAAAAAAGTTTCATCGTTGTAGCTACAAAAATGACGAATTTCCATACAAATTTTCATCTCCTATTTTATTTAACATTTTTACATAATTTAAATATCATATTTATTTATTTTTAACCAACAGCTTAAAAATAAATTTCAAGCTTCTAGCTTTAAGTATCACGGTAATTCTATACAAACATTCCTCTCCCCTTTCAACCCCTTACAACCCTTTTTTCGCATTAAAAAGTAGCCTATGTCCTTTCTCAGGATCCAGACAATATGTGTACCAAATTTCATTTAAATCAGTTCAGTAGTTTTGGCGTGAAAGCGAGATAGATAGACAGACAGAGTTCCTTTCGCATTTATAATATTAGTAAGAAGTAAGGATAACCTAGAACCATCCACACTATTAAAAAAAATTGTTTGAAATATTTTTTCTCATATTAGATATGTATGATTCTTATAATAATTATAATAACCCAATTACATACACAGCGCCATCTAGTCTTAAGTTAAACAGAGCTTGTATGATATGATAGCGTAGCAGCTTTTGTATTGTTTGCCGCATGCATCCTTATGTAAAGTGCGAATACTGTAACTACCATATAGTAATTTTAAGTAGCTGTGACGTAGTCGAGTGGTATGAGTAGTCATGCTCACTAAAATGTCCAGACATGTGGCGGCGTGGTGGGCCGGGTTATTGGGCTCCCTAAAATATGGTCGAGCGCAGTGATGGCTGGCTCATCCGTCATACTCGTGAACGAGTGCTGCTTGTAGGGACTGGTCTGCTCTTACAACTACGACTGATTTAATCTTATTGTATATTTATGTTTGACCCAAATAAATTAGTGCTGGTTGGTAGTTTGTATTCACACGTTTCGACTTGTAAATGTAAACTTACAAGGATTATTTAAAAGAGCAACACACAAGTTTCTTGCTTATTCTTCTTGTGATGAGACAGCTTTCCTAACGTGTGGTAGATAAAAAAAATTGTTATGACTATTCAAAAGTGCTTAAATTAAGTTTATTTGAATAAATGATTTTCTATTCTATTCTATTCTTGTATTATATGCTTGTAGACTAATAATATTTATTTTTTTAATAGATACATAATTTACACATTATAATTAGTAAATCACGGGATCTTACCACGTTTTATATTTGTTGAGTCCTTCAGTTTACCCGTGATCATGGCCGTTGAAACACTGCCGAAATATCGGGAACTCAACAAAAATAAAACCTGGTAACATCCCATGATTACTAATTATACTTATAAATAATGACCGCGTCAAACTTAAAACAGTAGAATAGAATAGAATAGAATAGAATAGAAAATCATTTATTCAAATAAACTTACATTGAAGCACTTTTGAATAGTCATTACATTTTTTTAATCTATCACTCATTCGGAAAGCTGTCTCATCACAAGAAAAACGAGCAAGAAACTTGCGTGTTGCTCTTTTAAATAATTTTATTATTACTTTACTTTTTTAAGTTTAAGTGTATATATAGATATACAGTATATAATATACAGAGGTAAAATAAAAAAATATGAATGTCAAAACAGCATGTATTGAGTTTATTTGAATAAAGATTATTTCTATTACATTACAAATTACATAAAGGTACGACGTTTGATTCCCAGGAGTTGGAGTGCCAGATACTGCAGAGCCTGCTGTTCTGTATGCACGCGTTCCTCACGGCGAAAGTAGCGTCCGTCGACCCGGCGTTCCTCGCATCCATACAACAGTCCAACTAAGTAACAACACCTACTATTAATAGCAGAGAATAAATGTAAACACCACTTAGATTGTGGAATGAACTTCCTGCCGAGGTTTTCTCACGAGACTGCAGCATGGGGTTTTCAAGAAGGGTATAATAAGGTTTCTTAAGGATCGGCAACGCGCACGTGACACCCCTGGTGCTTCAGGCGTCCATAGGCTACGGTAGCCATTTACCATCAGATGGGCCGTATGCTTGTTTGCCACCATAGTAGTATAAAAAAAAAACTTATAATACTATACATATATATTTTGTGCGTGGAAAAAGTTTCTAGAAAAACCCACGGTTGAGGATCACTCATCCAGATGATCAGGATGGTATTTTAGTTTCTGGTAATGTAATGTTTTACTTATAGTATCGGTTCGGAAATACCATTGCTGGAAGGTGATACCACAATGTGGTTGTGCGTGGAAAAAGTTTCTAGAAAAACCCACGGTTGAGGATTTCTCATCCAGATGATCAGGATGGTATTTTAGTTTATGGTAATGTAATGTTTTACATATAGTATCAGTTCGGAAATACCATTGTTGGAAGGTGATTCCGCAATGTGGTTGTGCGTGGAAAAAGTTTCTAGAAAAACCCACGGTTGAGGATCACTCATCCAGATGATCAGGATGGTATTTTAGTTTCTGGTAATGTAATGTTTTACTTATAGTATCGGTTCGGAAATACCATTGCTGGAAGGTGATTCCACAATGTGGTTGTGCGTGGAAAAAGTTTCTAGAAAAACCCACGGTTGAGGATCACTCATCCAGATGATCAGGATGGTATTTTAGTTTATGGTAATGTAATATTTTACTTATAGTATCGGTTCGGAAATACCATTGCTGGAAGGTGATTCCACAATGTGGATGTGCGTGGAAAAAGTTTCTAGAAAAACCCACGGTTGAGGATCACTCATCCAGATGATCAGGATGGTATTTTAGTTTCTGGTAATGTAATGTTTTACATTTTAAACGCCATCTATTATCAAATACTCCCAATGGTTCAACTAATAATCAACGTTTGGGCATTACAGCCTAGACAAAATTGAGTATTTGTACCTTGTCACAATAACGACTTATAATATAATAATTAAAATGTTAGAATATGTCAATAATGTCACTGTGATAAGGTACTAAGTGTTTACATGAATATAACTGTATAGTGTTAAGCGATAATTTATTTAATACGTTTATTCTCTGCTAGCTTCCTATTATATTACAATTTAAATTTTATTTTTATGTAAAACTATAGATTTATTAAACGTTTCTTCGTAATTTTTCAATTGTTAAGTTTTATATATTCACAAGTGAGCACAGACCAACAGTAAAGTCTAGATAGAGCACTATTTATACCAAAAGTAAGGACAGAGCCACAGCTACAGTCAAAAGCAATTATTTTTATTCAAATACATGGACTGAAGCAAATTATTTAATAAGTAATTAAAAATACCTGGATAGAGAATTATATACCAAAATTAACGACAGAGCCAAAAGAAATTATTTTTATGCAAGTCCATGCACAGACTCAAATTATTTATTAAGTAATTAAAAAATCCTTGAAATATTTGCAGCTTTTTTTAGTTTCGTGCCTGAGTAAAATGTCTTTTATATTTTTTTTATAAAATATATATTTGTACTGTATTTAAATATTTAAATAAATAAGATGCTAAATTGCGCTTCACATTTAATTAGGCCTTTCCCGCCATTTTTACAAAACAGACTCTGTCAACTGCACAGAGTACGTTATGAACAATATTCATTATGCCAAAGACTATATATACTACAATATTATATAGTTATTAGTCATAGTTAATTTTTCTGTCTGTGTAACCGTTACTTTTGATTAATAATATGAATTAATGATAATTAATAATACCTTCACTTGTTGTGCACGCTCCATCTTGAGATTTTTCGTGATCTGTATATAATAATGGTACTCCATCTTGACTTTTATGTTGGTCTGTGTAATAATTCGTATTACTACGATATCAAGGCCTAACGTTTTAAAACCGAACAGCGAATGTAAGACTTATATCCACTTCTAAAGATCTATTTTTGAATCTCTCCTCTATTACTGTAAGGTCTAGTTTGTGGCACCATTTTGACATTTTATTATCTGTCAATTATATTTGCTTGAATTTAAACATAATGTAATGATACCTTTACGATTTTTAATCTTGTAACATAAAGGCCTAGTATATGTATCGTATCTTCATAGACAAACTTGTCTATTGTTCATTCTATTTAATTAAATTTTGACAGATTTTCAGTCATTTTCGACAAAATTAGGACCGTAGCGAAATTTTATGTGACTTTTGTTGAAAAACCAATTGAATTTGACGTTTGTATTGTTCATAAAACTATCAAAAGTGTAATAATTTATTTGGATAATAGATAAATTGTACGTGAATTTTGATGTTTGTTTATAAATCTGACAAAATAATAATTTTTTTTTTTGGAATCTTACGTCTCTTTCTCTCAAGTAAAATTCAGAATTTGTAAGACAGAGACAATATCTTTACATAGTATAAAATGAAGTCGCTTTCGCTGTCTGTTCTCCCCTCCGATCGACCCCCCGTCCAATTCAAACAGGGATCGAAATTACGACGGCCTGAGCCGAGGTTCGAACCCCTAGTGGTGCCCTCAGACTAAAGTCGTATCCGTCAGGCTGGAGTTGGCCTCCATAAGTCCTTCCTTGGTTTGGAGTGCCATCTGCACTCGCCCCATAACGTCCGGTGAAGCTGTAAAGGCCAGCTGCGGCTAACAACATTAGAGTAGTCCGAAAAAAAAAAACTGTATGTTCGCATAGGTCTTTTAAGCCACGCAACGGATTTTTAATGCAGTTTTAGCAACAGATAGAGTGATCCAAGAGGAAGGTTTATGCGTATAATACATGTACACCCGTGCGAGGCCGGGGCGGGTAGCAAGTGCAGTTTCTTCGCTTAGATCTTTTAAGCTTTACGGGTTTTAATGCAGTTTTTAGCTATAGGTAGAGTGATTCAAGAGGATTTTATATGTATAATACATGTACAACAATGCGAAGCAGCGGCGCGTAACTAGTGTAGTCACTCCTAATTTTTTGTCTATGAAGATACAAACATATTAGTGTCCAAATTGAACAAAAACCGACAAATAACTAATTGTAATTATTTCTCAATAGATTTAAATATTGTAAGTGTAATAATAATAATAATAGTAACAAACGCGTTCGGATAATGTAATCGCCCCTTTATTCATATAAAATATAATGATGTATCTATAGTATGTAGGTATATGTATATAGTATAGCTTAGTACAGGGTTAGGTGATGAGTATTTATACCAAGATATACAGAAATATAGAAATCTAGCGATGGCTTTCGAGAAACTAAAATTCTTTATTCATAAAATTAGAAAGATATTAAATCTGAACTAGAACTACGTCACGTGATTGATTTAGTAGAAAAAGTATAAAAAAAATGATTTCCACAAAAACTTAAAAAAAAACTAAAACTGAACTAAAACATGTACTAATTGTACTGTTACATGATTAATTTAATACGAAGAGTTTAAAATACAAATAGTTTTTTTTTTAAGTCTTGTGGTAATGGCTTATCCATAAGAATTATAAAAACAACTTAAACTGACCTAAAATTGTGTATACTAACTGTGCAGTCACGTGATCAGTTTAGTACGAAAAGTTTAAAAAAATTGTTTCCACAAGAATAAAAAAAAAAACTGAAAATTACCTACAACGCGCGATCACGTGATTGATTCAGTAAGAAAACTTAGAAAGAAAACTAAGAAGAAAACTTAAAAATTTTCTAAATTCAACTTTATTTATTAGTACGTATGGTTCAGTTTCATTAGTTACTTAGATTTATGCTTAATATATGCATTACGTGATAGTTTAATTTTCTAATTTCAACTTTATTTACTAGTGCTTACGGCTCAGTTTTATGTTACCTAGATTTATGTTATATGCATTACGTCATAAATTTAGTACGAGAAGATCAAAATTATTTTCTATTTTCAACTCTGTTTCTTAATGATTACGGTTTAGTTTCATAAATATCTAGATTTCTGCTTGGTATATCCACTAGTAATAACCCTGTATAACTTAATTTTAAACTGATATGAAATATTTTAATATGTAAAGTGTATTTCATGTTTTACTTTAACATCACCAATACGCTTAACACATTGGCCAGGCGGTTTGGTATTGCTTGAATCCTAGGCTCTACGACATCTCAGGGATGTGTGAAATTAAAACAAAAAAGTTTTTGCGTAGGCCTAATTTTTTTAAGGTCCATAGTACCCAACTTCTTATAAGGTAAACCAGTTCATATCAGGGCCGGATCTACCTAAGGGCTTTTTGGGCTGCAGCCCAGGGCCCCGAGGATACAAAGGGCTCCCATTCCCTACTGAAATGATATTGAATATAAAAAAATATCTATAATGTTAAAAAAACCTATCATAAGGTTAGTAACCCTGAGATCAATCAACGCATACAAGTGCGCGTCTATCGAAAGGAACAGGGAATTTCTGGTCGCTTGTTTTTGGTCGGTGTATTTTTTTAGTTGAGTAATATAATTAGGTAGGCCCTTAAGTAGATTTAGCCCAGGGCCCCACAAATCCACGATCCGCCCCTGGTTCATATGCTACCTTAACAAAAAACGAATGATTTTGAATTAGTATTAGAGAAAGGTCGAAAGCAATCTGAAAAGAGAAACAGCTGAATGTAGCTGAATTATTATATAACAGTTTCTAACAATTCTAAATATAACAAATATAATAATAATAATAAACTCAGGACAATTCACACAGCGCCATCTAGACCCAAGTTAAGCTAGCTAAAGCTTGTGTTATGGGTACTAGATGACTGACACAAATACATAGATTTTTTTTCTAAATACATACATATTAAACATAGAAAACACCCAGACTGATACAAACAATCATACTCAAGAATACAAATGTTTGTGTCGTGCGAGGAATCGAACCCGCGACCATTGTACGTAAGGCGGTGCGCTAGATCGCTAGACCACCGAGTTTGTCAAATAATAAAACATTAGATTAT